TTTTATGCAAATCCAAGGAATCACCATATAGGGAATATTGTGCATGGTTTCTCTCCTACTTTAGAAAGGCTACTGAAGAGCTGGAAAAGGTGTAGGCGACCAAAGCGTCCAAGGAAATGGTACAACTTCTGTTTGATGATAATTTACAATAATTGAGTTAGCAAGAAGGGGAGATATTAGATATATAAAATAAATGCTCAGTGGTAGAAACTGAAAGGAAATTGACAGGCTTCTTTATTATTATTATTTTGGAACCCAGGCAGATATTAAAAAGGTGAAATGAGACATTCAGGGCAGATAATAAATAGCCATTCATAAAGCTCATGTGTTTTCTAAGGGCTCTTACAGTTATGTCCCTGGTTGCAATATCTCTATAAGGATCCAATTGACAAAGATGGGAAGAGAATACTGGACTAAATGGTTTAGCGTGATTCAACAGGCCTCTTTTACTTTATTTAGCATGCCTGGCAGTATAAACTATGGGAGTAAAATTTAGGTTCTTAAATTTTATACGGCTTTGTCAGTAGCTGCCATAAAATAGATTTTTCCCCAGTGAAAAGATGTCAATTTTAAATCTGCTAACAACATCATTTCTCTAACATCTCAATTGGGAATATCATGCAGGACGTGTTTTCCTGCTACTCTAGCCTCACAATGATATCAAAGAAACTAATGAAAGCTGTCATCTGTTTTCATACATACTACATTAATATTGTATTATAGGCCTCTCTGAGCTTTAGGACTGAAGGCCTCTTTGGAATTCAGACATCATGTTATGGAGATGATGGCAGTTATGAAAGAAGATGCTCATTCATATAATAGCTGCTTTGGTGACCTTGCCCAATCACAGACAGAAAATATCAGGGGGAGGGGATCATAGAACATGGCATGTACCAAAGAAACTGTCTGGGGGTAAAGACGTTCTTGGCATCACATTCAGAACTTTAGTGGTATAATCTGTTTTAGTACAATCATAAAACACAAGAGATGGAAAAGTCTGATATTGTACTGATTATAAAATGCTGTGCAAGATCCAGAGAACTAAAATTTGCCACTTGAAAATTAATATTCCCTTTTTGCATTATTGGCTAGGAGACAAATAGCACATAGGACAGTGAAATTTCTTGTGTTGCTGACTAAGTTCAGCTACAGTATCAATTGTGTTGTGTTTCTGAAATGTAAAGGTTCTGTAACCGATGGTCATTTTTAGTTTTCCTTACTAAATAAACTTCTCAGCTGTTTTGTTCAGCCTGTGCAGTCATGTTCAAAGATGAAACTAGACCCACTTCATGTGTTTGCAAATTTGTCCCCAATGAGAACAAAGGAAATCCTTGACTTTTGGAGGAAGAAATGGCAGACTGAATACAGTTCTGCAAAAAGCAGGCCTGATGACCACAGCGAAGAACGAAGAGCCTATATGTAAACTGTCTCTTCGAACATCTCTGAATAAAGAGAGGATGGGCGATTACTCACAAGTGCTTTAGACCAGGGGTGTCAAACTCAATTTCATTGAGGGCTGCATCAGGGTTGTGTTTGACCTTGGGGGCCTGGATGGGCATCACCAGGCTGGGCGTGACCAGCTCAACCTCACTCATGTCGGGCTGGGGGGGGATCCTCCTGCAGCCCTCTGCCAGCAAAGAGAGTCCAGGAAGGCTGCGCAGGTTCCATTTTTGCTGGCAAAGAGCTGCAGTTGGCTGTCGCAGCCAAAAATGGAGTTCAAGAGGGCTGTGTGTGGCCCTCCCCAGCTCTCTTTTCGCTGGCAGAAGCACCACAGGCCAGTCCTTCGCTATTTCCAGGGTGGCCCCGCAGGCCAAATCTAAGCACCCTGCAGGCCAGATTCAGCCCGTGGGCCCTGCTTTAGACAGTTGCTCCTCAGTAGTCTCCTGTGGATTTTGAGCACTGGGAGATGAGAGAATAGCCAGTCTGCAGTTGATGCCTTTAAAAAGGACACGAAGTTTGCATACATACTTTTCTAATTGCATTTGGAAATTGCTTCTTAACTACTTTCCTATTTGAGACTTTTTTGGATCAACAAGTCTGGAAGCACCCAGTCTGGCTTCAATCCTTAATGAAAGAAAAAATTTAACTACAAGCTTACTAATTTTTAAATGTTTGAAATCTATATAAATAAAAATGTAAATGTCCGTTTGTACATAACCGCACATCTCTGAAAGTTCTTCACCAATTGCTTTCAAATTTTGACACAACGTTGCATTTGACTACGGGCGTGTTTTCATATACCTATATTATATACATGTCACAACTGTGACAGGTAAAAACATGAAAAACATTGGAAAACATTGAAAGACATTGACAAACATTGAAAAACATTGAAAAACAGCGCCATCTGCTGGATGTACCATGGCAGCCTCCCAGCCCTGATTACGCTCAACAGATTTCTGCTCCTTATATTTAGACTCTCCATATTGCTTCCAAGAAATTGTGCATTTGGAAGGCAGAGATGCCCGAGGGCCATATCCTGCCACCAGGCTCGCCAGGTAGGCAGCCGGCTCCCCGCCAGGAAGCCCTCGCAGCTGGCGCTTCTAGGGCTGGCCGGGGGCTGTGTAAGCCTGGCTCTGACCTCCCCCTCCCCCAACCACCCCGCAAACTAGCCTTGCCCGCCGCTGCCCATCCCCCTCGCCAGCCGCTTTTGGGGCTCCCTCCAAAGAACACCTGGCAACAAGGCTGCCTGGGTCCGCCGAGTGGGAACCCTGTCCCTCGCTGAAGGGACGGAGGGAGGCTTCGGGAGGGCAGAAACGGGCAGGAGGGAGGATGGCTGGCCCTCCTTTGTTTCGCCTGGAAGAGTGGGGGATTTAATTATTCCCCTGTCCTTGGCAGGCGGGGGAGAAGAACTGAGCAGGGGGTGTGTGGCTCCTGGCTTTGCCGCTTTCTTCCTTCGGGCGGGAAACCCCAAACCAGCCTTGAACCCCTGCCGCACCCCCGCCCTCCCTCCCTTCCCTTCCCTTCCCTTCCCTGCTATGCGTCTCCCCGTCAAGCCCCCAGAGAACATCTGTGTAGGGAGGACAGAGGGGGACCCCGAGTTTCTGCTGTGGTGCGGAGAGCTGCGAAGGCCTGGCCTGAAAAGGTAAGGGCGATGGCGGGAAATGCAGAAGAGGCCGGGCCAGAGACAGATATAAACAGAGGGGGGGGGAGAGAGAGACACAGAGAGATACAGAGGGTGGGAGAGAGAGAGACATAGAGAGATACAAAGAAAGAGGGGGAGAGAGAGAGGGAGGATTTTGTAGTTCCCATTGTTTTTTAGCAACCGGTTCTCCGCCCTAATCACCAGCTGGGTAGGCGTGGCTCGGGGGCTGTCATGTGACTGATGAAAGTGAGTGACATTGAGTTGGCCATGCCCACCAAATGTTCGTGAAGAGTTTGGAATGTCAGCCTCGCTCTTTTAGCCCAGCGGAAGCACCAAACTGGGCCACAGCAACGTGTGGCCGGGTACAGCTAGTAAACAATAAATAGTTAAGACTTTGATTTCAGAATGTTATAAATGAATTAAAGGTCCAGATAAATTTGAAATAAAATTTTGGAATTAATTGTAAAGAATCCTTCTCATGGGAAAATGGATTTGTTTTGATTTTTTTCTAAAACATAATAGAAGGTATATAATTTTAAAAATTGGACATTGGAGAGAAGTGGATTTTAATTAAAAGAGAATACATGGGAACGATTAACAAGTATAGAATTATGCAACCTATTGTATTATAGCATTGGAAATACTGAAGGACACCTTTGAAAAATGGAGTCAGAAGTTTAATAGTAACAATGTCAATAGCAATGTTTGTTTCTATGAATAGACTGTGTCTAAAAGATGTTAAGAAAGAAATGGCAGACTAGGAACAGGTTTTATCTGACAGAGTTGACACTGAAAATGGATCTACAGATGACAGGCTACAAGAATATGGAAAATGTTGAAAATTAAAAGGGAATTATAAATAATAAACTAAGAACATACCTGATAATTCTTTTATATTGGATTTACAAAAGAGATTTTTTAAAAGGTTGGATGAATCTTGTGGGAAGGGGCAAAAAAGAACCTTGGTAGTACAGGGGTTTAAGGCACCCTGTTATTAAGCTGGTTATTAAGACCAGCTGCCTGCAATTACTGCAGGGTTCGAATCTCGCCAAGGCTCAAGGTTGACTCAGCCTTCCATCCTTTCTAAGGTAGGTAAATTGAGGACCCAGTTGTGGGGGCAATAAGCTGACTTTGTATAAAAATATACAAAAGGATGAAGGCTATTGCTGAGCACATTGTAAGCCGCCCTGAGTCTTCGGAGAAGGGCGGCATATAAATCAAATTAAAAAAAAAGAAAAGAAATGAAATCAAGTTCTACAACATTTCTTGAAAGGACTAAAGAGTAAGATTGCCAGAAATACAATAAAGGCAGGAATATAGTTAGTTTATTTGATCAAAGTTAAAATATGTAATTTCTGATAACTCTGAATGGAATTTTGCTGATACTAGGATTGAAATGACAGTGCTTTGCTTATAGGTAAGAGATGGGGCATAAGATGAAGATCTCATTGTTCGTAAATTAAGAAATGAATTAAACAAAATTGTTTGTACTAGTTGTGATTAAAGTTGAAAGTAATTTCTTTTTTCCTTTGTACTTTTTATTCTTTCTAATCTCCTGTCTTTAATTTAGTTCTTTAGTATATGTTTTTACTATTATAATTATAATATTTAACAACATTATTTTTAAAAAGAACAAAAAAATCTTGTATCATCTTTTTTCAAAATTCAGAGGTACAAAGGAATTTTATAGCAAGCTTTAAAGAGTAACTTCAGGTTCAATTTCTAAATCTGTATTTTTTAAAAAACCTAATAGTTGTGTAATCTCTCTCTCTCTCTCTCACACACACACACACTCACTCACTCTGTGTGTGTGTGTGTGTGTGTATGTATGATTTAGTTTACAAACTTCCCATGTCCTTCCCACTAGTCAGTGCAATGTATCATAATCTTAGAAACATAAAGCAAATACACAGGCTACATACACAAACTTATTTATTAGCAAAAATAAATTTATTCCACTAGGTCAAATAATTTGGATAAACAGAGGCTTCTTGGATCATTTCCATGCAGCATGGTGGAATACAAAGAAAAGGAAGTGGAATGGGACAACTTAGCGCAGCCAACTCACCTTGGAACAACTCACTATGGGACAATTCAACAATTCAATTTAAGTACCATTTCCCCCCAAATAAGACATCCCCTGATAATAAGCCCAATCGGGCTTTTGAGTGCATGGCAAAAAGGCCAAGTGCTTATTTCAGGGTTCAAAAAAATATATAAGACAGGGTCTTATTTTCGGGGAAACACGGGTATTTAAAATATTTTTTTAAAATATTTTAATTTTTATGATTCACATTTCATTGTCCCTCCTTTTGCATCCTCTTTACTGATTTTATTCCACCATTTCTTCAATATTAGTGTAAGTCTTGTCCTGTGGAGAGTTGCCCTGCGGCGAGTTGGCCATGCCAAGTTTTCCTAGATCCATAAACCAGCCACAGATGGCTCTAAAGAACTAAAAGCTAATCAAAAAGTCTTATTTCCTGTTTAAAGTGACTTCTTCGGTGTTCCATTATAAGGCAATCAGCATTATGGTACAGGAGAAAAAAAATTAACAGACAAATTTATTGTTATATCATATGACAAGATGGTTAAGGACAATTTATTTCTGCAATGACCTTTGAGGTAGACTGCCATAGAAACTCTGGGAAACAAAAGGCATATTTGTGAGATCATGTAATTAGCAATTTAAGAGTATACTATACTTATAACACTTACTCATTTATTGGGCAGTCAGTCTGTGGCACACATATATGGCTTGGTGATTCCCCATCCTTCATTCCAGCCTCAACCACACTAGTTATGAAGCAGAATGTGATCAGCAAACCTCATTCAACAGTATGTTCCTTTTTATTTAGTTAAGTCGGAGATCTATGTGATCTAGAATGACATACTATTTAATCTCATAGGCCTACTCTGTGATTTTGGTTTTTAGTCTTGACCTTCATCTGCATTTTACATTATAAGGAATGAAGAAGACATCATTATTGTCACTATAAGATAGTCAAGTGGCAGTTTACAGGATAGATCTGATCACTAGAACACATTCTGGCTTCTAATAGTCTTCATCACCATATACTGTGTGAATGGAAGGGAACTGTTCTCAGTTTTGCTCATAAGGGGAAAAGAAGGGAAAAAAGGAGTTATTAGGAGTACTTCTATTATTTCTATTAATCCTTTGATTTGGTAGATCATTTAAACTCCCTATTCTTGTCCAAGCACACATACTCTCATGCATGTACAGTTTGTGCTAGATGGTACCAACTATACTAGGAGTTGAAGAACTGTGAAATTAATTTTTGAGGCAATACACAGTTTTTGAGAATAGTATGTTCCTATGTTCCATGAGAGTAGAAGAATTTATTCCTACTCTAGCTATTAAAATCTGACTAAAAAGCTCACTGAATTATAACCTTTTTAAACAGATGATAGCCAAGAAGAATTAACAGTTTTTTTTAGAATAGTTTTTCAAACCTACTGTCCCTTGAATAAATTAATAGTTGAGACTACAATTATGTTAATAGACAAGAAACAAGGCAATGGTAGCATTATTTTTTACCAAAAAGCCTATGCACTGAAAGACATTTACATCATTTGAATGAAAATCTAGAGTGCACCTTACCTTGAACACCAGTGCAACCATTAAACAAACAAAATATAATGCTGGTGTTTACTGTCACCTGTAAACAACCATAAGAGAAATATCTTGTTATATTAAAAAGCTGTATTTCAAAACTCTGATTTTTTTCCTACATGGAACCAGACAGTTCTGAACTATATGATACCTGAAAAAGTCTATAGAGTTTCTCATTTAGTGCAAACATGATTCATAGTTAAGTCTTTGACCCACAGACCATAACATTTTAACTGGGGATAGTAATTTCAATGACCCTTCATTTCTCTATTTTAACCATACTATTACCTCAGACACATAGTCATATGGCACATAATTGTTAGAAAGCCATTGTGCCAAGGGAAGCCTATTCTTCAGCATTAAATTATATCAGAGTTCTAGGTCAGTGTTTCTCAACCTCAACAAGCTGGTTAGTGAATTCTGGGAGTTGGAAGTCCAGACAGCAAGTGCCTGAGGTTGAGAAACATTCTGTTGGCAGGAGGACCAGATGTACAAAGAAATTTGTGGCTGAATGATGGATCCAGACCAGCAAAATATCTCTGGAGGCAGGAGAGATTGTTGAGATAACCCATGTGACTCCAGACAGTTGCTCCTTGTGAGTAGATCACAGGGAATGCTTGTTTCGTGGTCAGCTTCTGAGTTGAGTGGCTGAAAGTTGAGGGATACTGAACTATCAAGCTCATACTTGTAACACAGCCTTTTAAAGACATAAAGCCTACCTGACCCTCACTTCTTAACTACTTTTTGGATTATTTCTTTTATTGTCCTGAAAATATTTGCTGTATTCATTGAGTGAGTGAGTTGCCTTCTCCTTGGAGAAAGATGCTTTAAATGTGATTTTAAAGGCTCTGGAAATATTGATTTTTTGATTAAATGGCAAAAAGATGTATAGGATATGATTTTGGAATGGTAACAAAGATTAAAAATCCAGATAGATTTGGAATTACAATTCTGAATTAGAATAATTCTTCTTGTCGAATTGGCGATTGTTTGGGCTTTTTAAAGAAGAAACATGATAATGGGACCTTGAAGGTTTGACATCAGAGGAAGCTAGAGGATAATATGTTCATTTTGTTAACAAAGAAATAAATAATGGAGCAACAAGCTTTAATGCTTGTTTTTGAAAATTGGTCTTCAAAGTTTTTGATATGAGGGAACATGGGACAATGAAGTTAGACAAGAAGAATAAGCTACAACGGATAAATATGAAAATAATTAGGATGTGAATTTAACTGTTTCAAGCAGAAAAATATATAAAGATATATTGAATATGCAAACAAAACTGGATATTTCACTACCAAAGGATATACATTTAAATCAGAAAAATAACTTTTTCTTACTGGATTTACAAAAGAGATCTGTTAAAGTCTTGAAGGACATTGTGAAAAATGATTTTTAAAAGGACAAACTTTACTTGCTGGTTGTACAAAAGAAATCTTTTAAAGTTTTAAATATTCTTGGGTTAAAAAAAGATGTACAGAAAACAAACTCTGGGACTATATTTAAAGGGGTTAAAACTTAAGGTTGTTAAGTTTTTTTCCTACTTGTAATTCTTAATACGATTATTTGAAAAAGAGAGAGAAATATTGGTCATTTCAGCTACCTGACATCAGCATTATAGAGCCTAGCTAAAATTGAATTAAATTGTTCCAGCTCCCAAACCAAGCTAAATATGATCCTAAAATTCAGACCATGGCTTTCTCTGATCTTAGTCAAATGAGAAATCCAATCCCTGATGAGCTGAAAAAATGTAAGAAATTGAGGGATGCTAGTGATTAATTCCCTTCAGATGTTTTGTCAAGATACTACATTTTAGACTACCGTTTATTTCAAAATACCAAAGCAGGATTGAAAATAAAGCTGAATAAAACTATTAGTATTTCTCAATAGCCAAAATGGAAGATGTATTTGAAGATTTATTCCTCCTTAATTTCTATTAGGGTTACCAGGAAAAAAAGATATTACAAGAGTAATATCAATACATATTTCTTGTAGATTTTAAATACTCATACAAGTAGTCTGCTTCAATTTTGTAATAATCTATCATCCATTGATTGAGCTATAATCAATAGATCTATCTATCTATCTATCTATCTATCTATCTATCTATCTGTATCATCTATGACAGAAGATTAAATTTGTGGAGAGATATCTGACAATCAGGTAAGATTTGTACGTGAGATTTGAATCACAGACTATTGAAGCTCTACTTATATTAGCTCTCTTGGACTGGATAAAGTTTCAGAAGGCACTTGCATAAAGATGAATATTCACCTACAAACACCAAGATAGAAGTAGCACTCTAGGGGGGGAAAAGTCAGTTTCTGAGGAATGTACCTTCAATAATATCTTCCTGTGCTACATATTTTTCCATTTTTCTAAATGCCAGGTGGAGTCACTTTCCTCCTAGTATAGTGGTGGGCAATTATGGCAACTTTACAACCTGTGGATTTCAATTCCCAGAATTCCATGCTGGCTCAGGAATTCTGGGAGTTGAAGTTCACAGGTTGTAAAATTGCCATAGTTGCTTATCCCCGTCCTAAGATAATGGCACCAGGTGTGAATGCAATGAACAGGAGTTTGCAATGTCTTATTAGACATCTAGATGTATCATTTGTCTTCTACCTTCTAAGGTCGTATAATTCTTCCCCAGTGAAGAAATCTTGCTAGATTTTTATCTGACTTACCAATAACTTCTTTCTTTTTAAACAAGACTAAGCTATTTCTTTCCACACTGAGGCAGCTCAGAAATAATTGGAAAGTAATCCTTAGCGATCAAACTTAATGGCCATAAGGATCCTTAGCGGTGCTGATTAATTCCCTCTCCTCCAGAACTCTTTCCAGATGAATGCAGGTACCCCAACAGGGATAATTCTAATAATTTCAAAAATTATCAACTCATGGCTCAGGGAGTGATAGCTACACTCCTAAAAATGCATCTTTGCTTTCACTTCTTCTCTCCTACTAAGTAAAATATGAAGACACAGATCACCTGGTTAAAAAACTAGAACAGATGTAAGTTTATAGCAGGGGTGTCAAACTGGCGGCCCGTGGGCCAGATATGTCACGTGCAGCCACGCCCACCCCAGCTCCGTGAAGGAAGAAATGTTGCAATATGTCATGTGATGGCAATGTGAAGCAGCGAGTTTGACACCCGTGGTTTACATAGTAGGATAGAAAAGGGGAATGACATCAAAGCTGAAGCTACCAGGATATGGAAAGAAAGACAAAGGGCACAGCGAAAGGACTGAAAGAAACATAGCAGCTAGTAAAAACTGCTACACTGATCTATCTATTCGACTGCACATTCTTGACCTGAACTTGTTACCAGCTGTTTTCAATTCTTTACACTATGAGTTCAAGTTCAAAACCCTCAAGGGCTGTTTTGTCTTCTGTCATCTGATCAAGGGAAGAAGCTGGGCTGCATGGGAAATACAGGCAAAAGCACTAAGTATATTCTACGCAGGACCCCAAGAAGTCATGCAGAATGGCGAGAAAACTCCTTCAATTCATATTTTAGATGGGTATGGAAGGGAGAACCTAATTCTTTTTTGTTTGCTTGATTACCGCTATTGGCAAACGACACCCTATAGCTGGTTTTACTAAGGGCAGTTTTATAGTGGCACAGAAGCTTTGGAAAAGAGATGAAAAGTGTTCAAGAGATCTTCCAGCACAATATTTTAGGCTGCTTGTATACTAGGTTTCTTCACAATGTGACAGGGTTTGGACATATCTCAGTTTGGACACAAGGCACAAAGATTTCAGAAGTACTACTTTGTTGCTGGTCCTAAACTTGTCATGCTTTGTTTTTTTCTTAAAACAGCAACAGTATTTGTATTACATTCTGACTGTTGAAAAGAGGATTGTACTACATTTATCTAATGAGATCTGAATTCTTTCTGCTTATTAATCCTTTCCCGCCACCACAGACCAAGAACAATAAAGAGCCCCTGATTCCTCAGACAATCAGCCTGTCACCATATGCTCTGAAATATGACCCCATGCCCCTTTTGCACTACACTCAGCTATTTTATTCTGGTACAGAATCACAAATATATACAAATGATCTAGCAACTGTGACAAAACAGACCTGCCTGTTCAACTAGGTACTCTTTCATATATAGAAGTAGCAATTTCCATGCGTTTTAGGAGATCCAATAGTATACTCTACTAATTTGCACCCTTCACAACCAATATATCATCTGTGTATTTTTGCATCTGTGTATATTCAGTATAGGAATTGTTAGTTTAGTGAAAGATCACCACATCAAGCTGATATGCACATACCCGTTCCATTACCTAATGGCTGCTATACCTCTCCTTCAATTTCATGTCAATGAGTAGCCTAACCGGGCCTTGCGGTAACTCATGCGCATGCGGAAGAAGGTGTACATGCCCAACAGGCAGACAGAAGAAAGCAAATACAAGAGAACACACAAGCTGACATCCAACCGGGAGAACCCCATTCCCAGGATATAGATCCACTGGTTTCTCCTCGAAGTATTCTCATTTTCCACTTGGATTCCAGAGAACTGTCTGGCTCCCAAGTTCTTATGCCTCAGGGACTCTCTAATATAATCAAGTGAGCGGCGGCCCTCATTCGCCATCAGGAACAGCCGAGTGTCCCTCTTAGTCCGCCTCTCCCTGATGTTAATCTGTTTTGCCAGCTTCAAGGCTTTGCTCTTAAAATGCTGCTCACTAAATGTATCAAGATCAACAATATCCTCCACCATTTCTTTTGCCTTTGTGCTCATCTTGACAATGCTTGGTTTATGCAACTCTGGAGAACCAGGTTTTCCCAAATCAAATTTCTTCTTTTTTACTTTCCCAGTCTCTAGCTGCTCCGTCTTCTTGTCTTCGTCTGGTTCCTTTTGATTATCTTGGTCACTCTCTTCTCCTCTTCCTCCCCCTTCTAGCTTCCAGTCACCTTCATAATTTTGCTGAGCAACATTTCGACCACGTCTTGTTTGATGCTCCAGGGGAGAATTCATGTAAATATTTTTTTCAGAAAAATGCCATTTGAGAAACATCAAGACTCGATTCTCATCCCACATAGACTTTTTCCCATCCTGCAAAGAACTGTCAGTTGAGGTGTAATGGCATGAAGGGCAGAAGCTTTTGGGAGGCCACTGGATCTTGGGAAATTTGGGATCATCAGTTGCTGTACCTGAACAAAAAAAATGAAAAAAAATCTTACTATCATGCTATTCAAATAATATTCTCACACACATTAACATTCACAAACTATTTAGTCTATAAGCAGTGACTGGTTTGATTTATGCCTAATTAATTACTGCCTCCGGTACCTTATTGTTAAAAAGCCATTAAAATGCTTCTTTATGATGGATATTTATGAAGCCAGAAAACTTAACTCATTATTCACTGTAGATTATACAAACGTTTTGCTAGTATTAGGTAACATTTATATTGATTATTATATTGCACTAGCTAATTTCCTACAATGATGTTGCTGTATATGGCGTACAATTTTATTTATCTGTAGTGCACTTAATTATAAACATACCTTAAATAAAGCTACTACTGTATACTGATTTGCTTTAAAAACTGCTCAATGCTTATTCATTTTCAAAAGCTGAAAGATAACCCAAAGAAGATGTCTCTAAATATTTATGGCAATAATTATGAAATACTTAGCTAATGCTTTGAACAATTTTTACTGTGTTTTCAGTAACTGTGACATAAAATATTAAGAGAAGTATGAATCAAAATATTAACACTGCTTTTCCATAAAAGCATGTTGAAAATGGTTGACAATGAAACAGGTTTGAAGAGAAAATAAAAATAAAAATATTTGCTTCATTAGTTTGAAAGCAATGCTAACTATTGAACTCCCTCGTTCTTAGCCAAGAAAAAATTACTACCACAAAATTGCTTCAATAATCCATCTCCAGATGAGGATGTAAAATCGTGGATTAAAAAAAACCTGACAAAAATCACATTATTTATTCACTTGTTATTACAAAGTCTTTTCTTTGCTCCAATTCAATGAGTTGACTGAAGGTGATGTCTTGTCCTGTATGACTTTATGGGCTTCATTGCTAAACTAGAAATGGAAACTGGAATACTGTGTCTGTAACATGCCTACACATATATAGATAATTCTGGTCCCACAACAAAAGCAAGCAAGCAACTTCCAAAATTTAAATTATAGGCTATACCTAAGGGGGGGTGGGGGGGAATGGCTATAGCAGATCATCATCATTGCCACCACTTGGAAATAATATTGTTTTTTTACTTACAAAAGTAAAACTGCATGCTTCTATCTTACAAACGAATCTGCTTTCCTTGGTGCCAGGTTTTTGTTTTGTTTTTTTAAAGCACCATGTAGATTACCTAACACCTGACTTGCCTTTGCCAAAGGTGAACTGCTATAGTAAGAAGTTTAAGCAGTTAAAACCTCAGCACTTGAGTCAAGATAAGCAGCGGTCATATTTGATAGAGTACAACATGCCATTAAACTGATTTATTTTGTTTTAGTGGCACATACTGTTTTCCTTTTGTATTTTTGTTTAATGATTATATGCCATTCAAAGTTGCTTTGTTTGAGTTGGATGGCCATATAAATGTTTTGAATAAGCAAAGGTAAATAAATAAATTTTTACCTCCCCCAAATTTTTCAGAATAGGGCATGCCAAGGATACCCAGTTTTTATCATTTCTTTCTAAGTGGCCGATATTTGAAATACACCCAATTCTATCAGTTCAACCTTCTATCTCTAACTATAGAAGAAAAGGAACATGACCTTACAGACATATACAAGAACTGCTATGTAGGCAAAAAGGGCTGAAATCGTTTTTAAGTCCAGAGCAATTCGATAGACTATAAGAAGGAGAAGAAGGTGCAGCAGGATCAGATAAGATAAATGCAGATAAGCATTCTATATGGAGAATCTGCTGAGAACAACAAAGAAAGATTCATATTGTGGAAACAACTTGTGGATATTTGAAGTCATAACGTCACAATTTTAGCAAATGCTTGCAATAAAGAATCTGCTGTCTACATTCATTGGGCGATTTCCCTATTGTTAGTAGATATGCCATCAACATTCCCTTGGACTGTTGACAGTCCAAAGCATTTAAGAGACTGACTTTAACAGGCATTTATTAAAGGCTCCAGTGAAATTCTGAAGAGGATTTAGCCTATTTAGTGGCTGTTATCTACCCTGGGCTTGAAGGAAGAAATGTATGGGTGGGTGTCTGTATAAAGAGAATAAGAAAATATGCCTCAGAAGATCAGAGATTATGTCCCTAGGGATAGACAGAGAGGGTGGGAAAACCCAAGAGGAACAAAGAGTAAATAACTCCTTTGATTCCCTGGCTTGGTCAATGAGTCTCTCTACTTTCTCCTCTCACAATCATCTGTCAAGGGGAGTCACCTACTCCTCCTCCTGTCAGGCAAAACAGGGCTGTAGAACAAGGGACTGCATCTGTCTGTGAGAAGCACAGCATTTGGGCAGCAGTCCTGGAGGAAGGTCCTCTCAAGGCACGTGTCAGCCTTTAGAAGCCCCCAGTAGAAAAGATGAAGAAGATTTAGTAGCTAAGTCTCTGGTTCAAAATCACCAGCTGCTGACTCCTTTCTGACAACAAGAATCGGTGTTTGCTGTCTGACCCTCTCTGCCCTCTTCCGATCCAAGTATTCTTCACTGATTTTTTTTGTTTTTGTTTTTGTTTTTTTGTTATGGCAGGCAGGGGTTAATTCACAATGCTCTTGCCTACAACACTTTGCTGCAATTCCTCCTTTTATAGGGAAGGAGAGCATGGTGGGTGGTGAGGTGCCTTTCAGGTTTCTTTTCAAGTTACAGTGTCCTCAGGGCTGCTGAGCCAGGGAGCTAGAGGATTCTGCAAGCCAGAAATATATAGCCTGACAGGCCTAATCGAGTTCTAAGCAAAGTGTTCTGAGAAAGAAAAGTTATTTATTTTGTTTTAGAACCAGTGAAACAGATGCTGCATGTAAACTCAGTCAAATAAAAATTCTCTCTGTGTATGTGTTTCAAAAATGCTTCCATTTATAATTAGAACTATTTAAATCAAGAAACAATCTCTCCCTTAATCAGGCCTTGACTGCAAACTAACAAAAAAGATGAGGAAGCTTCTCACATCAAGAATTCTGATCACTTTTAGTTTGCGCCATCACAATACAGAATCAATTGGTCCCTGCCTATTTTTTTATTCAGATCCCAGCATTACAACAATACATCCAGTAAAGGTGAGATGGCTATTAAAAAGGCCAGTGCATCCTGGAAGGTAACTGCACTAAAGTGCAGAATGAAAAGGTAACCAAGCCAACCAGTTGTAGAAACAAGCTATTACAGATACTCCTCGATTTACAACCATTCATTTAGGGACCATTCAAAGTTAGAAGGGCACTGAAAAAGTGACTTGTGACCATTTTTCACACTTACAACGGTTGAAGCATCCGTATGGTCACATGATCAAAATTTGGATGCTTGGCAATTGGCATGTATTTATGGTGGTTGCAACGTCACCTTTGGCCACCTTCTGACAAAATCAATGGAGAAGCCAGATTTACTTAACAGCCATGTTATTAACTTAACTGCAGTGATTCACTTAACAACTGTGGCAAGAAAGATTGTAAAATGGGCAAAACTCACTTAACTGTCTTGCTTAGCAGTGGAAATTTGGGGCTCAGTTGTGGTCGTAAGTCAAGACTACCTATATTCAATTTCCTCAACATCAATTGTCTTCAAGGAGAGCTACAGAATAATTCTTAAAATGAAAGCTTTCATATTTGACATTTCCTAATAGCGAGAGCAATCAACCAATGGAATGGCTTGCCTCCAGAAGTTGTGATGCTCCATCACTGGAGGCTTTCAAAAAGAGACTGGACATTTGTCTGAATTGGTATAGGGTCTCCTGCTTGAGCAAAGGGTTGGAATGGAAGATCTCCAACGTCCCTTCCAGCTCAGTTATTCCATGTTTCTATGGGATGGAACTCAGTCAGAACACACAGTAGCCTTTGCTTAACAACCACTTATTCAGCAGACATTTGACCATATGATGGGTGTTGGAAATAGAGACTTATAACTGGTCCTTGAAGTTGCAACTACCTGCAGAGTCCCTGCAATCACATGATTGCAATTTGAGCACTTAGAAGCCAACACACATTTACGAAGGTTGTAGCATTCCATACTCATGGGATTGCCATTTGCAACCTTCACAGTCAGCTTCCGATATCCAAAGTCAATGGAGAAGATTAAAGTCCACCCTCAATCATGAAAGCTCACTGGGTGAGCTTGTTCTCTTTCTGCACAGCTTACAGTACCTCCAAGGACTGTTCTTCTGTGGCAAACCCAACAACCAAGTAAGCTTCTGGAAGGCTATATATTGCTAGGGAAACAGGATACCTGCTGGTTAAAATGGTCAAAAAATAGACTGCCAGGAGCAGACTCCTCACCTGCCAAGCGAGCATTGACCCTGTTATGTCTTGACCAAAGCCACAGGACAGCCTCGTCCCTGTTCTGCACTTCATGCATAGACTCAGCTGCCATCGCTTCGAAGTGCTCTGCACACATCCTGCAGCCAAAGAAATTGCGGATGTATCCCCTCATTGTAGGAAGAACTTCAGGTATACCTGAGGAAACTGAAAATTAAACCACAATTGTTAACACCAAAGTAAAATGGAATGGAAAAGTAACCCGCAACAACTACCATTTTCCTAAAGTGAATTCAAATCATGTTTCTTCTCCAAAGCAGAGCAACAGATGAAAGGGGAAGAATGCATTTGCCCCTGATATTTTTAAAAAGAGCCAACCTTATCAAGAAAAGGTATCAAAATGAGAACCTTATAGAAGGGAAACGAGGTACAACTAAGAGTTATTCACCTATAATTTATTTATTAAAAATAATGTATTATCACTTGCTAATCAAAAATCAACTTATTTCTCTTTTTTTTGTTAACTTTGAACTGGCAAGGCAGTCCATCTAAAAATAAAATATTTTACTGTCGGAGCAAATGACCACTATCTGAATATAAATGGAGAAATATCCAGCATGTTCATAGATCGTTATTACCATTTATTTTCTAAGTAATGTTTCTGACTTAAATGCTTCCTTCTCTCTCTTAAAGCCATAAAATTGTATGCATTTGGATGAGGTGTGACAAAATAGTGTTTTGCAATCAGGGTTTTTTCCTATGTTGAAAGATGTTAAAATGGCCATGGTGGGATTGCAAAAATATCGCACATTTATACCTATGAATCAAAAGAAATAAATATTTGACCTCTACAGGGAGGAGTCACAAAATATGGGTGTGTCTGGCTGAAGAGGTCTAAAAAGGCCGAAATAGTGCTATCCCAGTCTCCCATAAGTCACAGAAGAAACAACATAAAATGTCTGACAGGTCTGAAAGTGATGAATAGAGATTTCATCCCATCATGGCCATTTTAACATCTTTCAACATAGGAAAAAACCTGATTGCAAAAATATCGCATATATATATATATATGTATTTATGTATGTATATATATATGTATATATATACATATACACATACATACACACAACATACACACACATACACACAAACATAGGAGATCTCATAGAGCAATGGTTTAAAAAATAAAATTAAAGAGGAACTCCCATGCTTTATGATAACTTCTCCAATAAGAGATAGATATTTAATCATCACAAACAATATTAAAAATGGTATGAGAGCAATTGTGTTATTTCTATTTCTCTTTTATTTATTTTTTAATCAGAGAGATGAATGGCAAAGACAGAACATTGCCAGTGATTAACCAACTCCCAAAATGTTTTCTAAGCATGTTCAAATGTGAGGGCCAGCATGATATACTCACTAAGGTTTTGGAGAAGGACTGGAGAGATCAGGTTTATAGTCCATCTCCACCCAGGGAAGCTCATTGGGTTACCTTTGGACCCCTCTCACTCAGCATAAACTTAATTTATAGAGTTGTTCTTGTGGGGGGGGAAAAATAAGAGAAGGGAAGCGCACTGGATTGAGATCTCGGAGAGAAAAATCTAGGATATAAATCTGACAAAAGAATAATACAACAATATGTATAAAATGCTCTATCTGCAATAGATGAGAGTGAAATGGTGATGAATTTAATGGACACTGCAGATATATTTCTGACAGCATTTTATGGTTTAAAAAAATCTCATCAAAATGGTAAAGAATAATGTATCCAAGGACTATGATTGTGGATCCAGACCTTCCATTCTAAAGTTCAGTGTGATGAATGGAATAAAAAGCTTTAATGCAGTTACTTACCAGACTGTTTTTGACATGCTGCTTGAACCGTCAGGTGATGGAAGAGAGTCCAGAGTCCACATGGAAAACCCCGGAATTGAGGTTTGCTTCCTTGACATCCTACCCATTGAGGTCTCTCAGGTAACGTGGCATTTGGAAACTAAAAGATAGGAGGGAGATTGAAGGAAAAAGGCTGTGCACAGAACAAGATACCCCATTTCATTCACTGCATGGACCACAACATGTCAGTTCCAAGCAAAAGAGAAACAAAATCAAGGATGGGGGTGGGGAGCAGGTAGATGGAACAAAAAAGAGCAGCTGGGAGCTGCTTAAGAAAGAGAGGATGTGAAGTTCTCACCCCATTCATCTCATCATGATTTAGTTTTATTTGCAACTTGGAACAACCAACCTGTTCTGAGTTAAATTTCTGCCAAATCATGGATGACTTGCAACTATTCAATGGAAATGTACAGAGTGGATTGTTCAGGGTTCAAAACAATTGTTTTTCTGGTTGTTGTTTTTTTTCATTCATTCTCCTAATGTTTTCCCTACTTCTGAGATTTCCCCTTTTTGCCCTATGACATCCTGACACTGGACCATGATCTCCTTGCCTTCCCAGGTTGTTTCCCCAAGCAGCTTCCTTACTGCCTGTGTACAATGGACAGTTAGGCTTTTTGTCCTTCTCCCACCACCACCAAAAAGAAAGAAATTTGACAAAAACATAGATTGAACAAGGGCTGCCCATTGTTTTTGTCCCATCCCATTAAGTAAATTCATTCATTTGTTTGTTTGTTCAATCAATCAATACCACCACCCATCCAATACAAGTAATTCTCGGTGGTGAGCAGCATGAAAAACATTAAAATAATAAAATAATAGTCAAAGTGACCATTATCTGCCTCAGTGGGAAGATGGAATACGGCAGTGAGAATTTTCCCCATGTTTTAATTTAATTATTTCTTAGTTTTATATTTCTCCCTTCATTCAGAAGCTGTCATAGTACTCCCTCTTATTTTTCCCCGGAACAACAACCGTGTGAGATAGATTGGGCTGAGAGGGGGCAGCTGGCTCAGTGTTGCCCAGAGGCTTCTGTGCAGAAGGTGGATGTGAACTTGGGTCTCCTCAATGTCATTACAACACCTCCATCTCTAGGTCAAGCTGGCCATTTGCAAACCAATAATTTGGAGAGTAATTTTATGGTACACAAAATAAAACAGAGGTAAAGAACATTAAAAACAATAGCTGTAGAGACAAATAATACAGCAAAATACTCTGCCTTAATTATAATCCTAAACTGTTATGAATATTATTCATAATTAAAGACAATATATTTTTAAAGAAAAACTTAAACAGAACAGTGTGTGGATCACAGAACATATTTACATTATTCATAATATAACCTAGTGAAACTCAATATACTTTTGCAATAAATTTAGATCTTGAGACAGCTCCATAATATATGATAACAATGGCATCTAGCAAGTTACACATGGAGTTTATAGCGTTGGAGACAAAATACTACCAATATCTAGTGGGCTTTATATATTCAACTTTTATATATTTTATATATAACCTACCTCCTTTTTATTCTTTAGAGCTTCCTCCCATTCACTCTGCAAAACAATTGTCTTTGGTCTCAGCCACAAATCCAGGTTGTAAAGGTAATTCTTGACTACCAACTGCCCAGCAAAATGCTGAATTTAAAAATAAGAATGGGAAGGAAAAGATTAAAAAGTGTAGATGGAGTTATTCTCTGAAGCATATGTGTACAGTATCATGGTGTGACAACACAGAGTACTATATTTGGATGGCATCCCAAATCCATTTTCTTAAAAAACAACAACTAAACAATATCACATTAACTTAGAGGGGGAAACACCTCTGTCCCAAGTAGGACATATGCAGGTACCAGAGTAATCAGTCACATGATGAGCCTTTTCTCTAGTGGAGGAGAGAGAAAGAAAGAATGGAATTCATCCAGGCATTTCAAATTCAACAAATATAAAATAGGACATGTAGTCAGGCTCATATTTATTGTCCAAAACATATTATTCCAGAGACCATCCAGGATTCTGTTAGAAGCTGTAAGCATGCTAAGAGGAAATAATCTAAGACCCATTAGCTTCCATCAGACTAAAGACTGACAAATAAGTCAGTTTAAGCCACAATAGACATGTGAAGTCTAAACCTTGTAGCAATCTATTACAACAGAATCACTGAGATACCACTAATCGGTGCCAACTTATTCAAACTATAAGAAGTATATTAGCTGCCACACATAAATAAGGCTTAAATCAGTGTGAAAAATATTCAGTTGCAACCATGAACTGTTGCGGCAAAGAGTTATTGATATAGACCCTGGCATTCTTTAGCACCAAAAGCTTAATGTTGTTAACACCAAATGCAAGAACATCTTTCCACCCAATCACACAGAGATCACAAGTCAGCAAGAAGGAGTAACTTGAGCCAAAACCATACCCTTGTTTCCTATATAGCTCCAACTCTGTTGAAAAAGCCATGGATGTATCTTTCTGCACTGTCCATCCAGTTATTGGTGGCAGATCTTGGCAGCACTTGAAAAAGGGGGCACTGAAAACAGAGAACAGCTAGTTGCCCTGTAAGCTCAGTACTTCATCTCCTGTTTTCCAATGGGCTTTATGGCATTCCTCTCAAATCCAGCCCACTACTTGCTAATACTAAGAGGGGCTTTTTTTTGAGTGGTGTTCAAGATGCTGCAGTAGCAAACAACTCAGTCCCTATGGGCTTACAGCCAAGATCCAAATCTTGACTCTAAGTCCAAAATAGTCTCCAAGGATCACAGAAAGCTACTTTGACAATAAGTCATCTCAAATCCGATTAGCATCAGCACTTTAAAACCACAAGCACTCCAGGGAGGGGGGAGAGGGATCAAAGAGCTATATGCTCCAACTTGGGGGTGGGGGTGGGGGGAGAGAAATGTAGCAGAAAAAGCCATGTCACTAAAAGAAAGCCAGGCAAATGACAAGTTGACTGGAGGAGGGGAGCAAGTTCAGAGAAAACAGGAATATTGATTGAGAGGACGTATAAAAGGAAAACACCTGTTTTGTTTCTCAGTGAGAAAATGTAAGCAGTATTAAATGGCAGGGTGGCAATTAAAGTAAATCAGCAATGGATGTTGATGAAAGAAAGGAGATTTTTCTTTGATTATTTCTTTAAAAATCAGCACACAGAGAGTTCAAGTGAACCAAAAATTTCTCTTCTATCTGAAGATTATATACTAATTTATTTGAATATATAGCCAGACACACTTTACAGAGAATTAAAGCAACACAAATCTGTCTTTCTAATTTAATACAGTAAGGAGAATGCCTAGGTAGCAGAAAGCCTGTTGAGATGCTGGACCTTCTAGAATAAAAAAAAGATACAGCCTTCCAAAGCTTTATTTTTATTTTGTATGTAGAGAAGGAACGTAATTGAAAGGAAAAACCTGGCATGAAAAAGACCAAGGAAATAATGAGTTACGGGATCCAATCTGGGTTGGTCACTGGAGACCAGAGGTTTTGTCTTCCGAGCTTTTGGACTAGTGTTGGAGCCCATCTTCAGGGAACTTCTCTGTAGCTAATAATGAGTTAAGTGGCTGGAACTTAGGTAGACTTCTCCACCTTGTGGCCCAAATCTAGCAACACACTTCGCATCGGATACAACACTGACTGTGCTTTTTCAAATGTAAATTGGTTATGGGAAAAAAAAGTCATGGGCTCTTTCAGAACATTGGTTGACCAAAGTTTATGCTACAATGAAAATCAGAAACTACATACAATTTGACTTGGCAGGTATTTTTAATGTATATAAACCAATGGGAAATAAGAATCAAGGGGATGATTAATAGTAAAGTGAGGCTACAGAGTTACAGCGTGAGCTCAGCCAAACCATCAGTCATACAGAAATATTAGAGAAAGCCTAAATTATTACCCTGCAAATCACCTAAATACTGCTGGCCTTTTCTTATTTTAAGACCCTCTCTTTGGCAATCTTAAAGGGCAGATTTAATAATCTCCTAGCCACAGAGGTTTTGCCCATGTGAATATGTGATATAGGAAATCTGAAACATCATAGCACATGTCTTACTAACACTTATATTCAATCAAGATTTATATAGCTTCAAATGATGAAAATCCCTGTCCAGGCAGATAAACTTTATATTTATATAAACTAATAATATCCCCCTCCTATTACAGTAAGAATTATAGTTTAGCAAAAAAAAAATATCTTTGGAATCTATACTTAAGCGTTGTAAACGCATTTAGGCATTTCCCTTGATATTCACATTAGAGAAGAAGCAGATATATCTTAGAAGTTATTAGTGTTTCTCAACCCTGACAGCTTGAAGATGTGTGGACTTCAACTCCCAGAATTCCCCAGCCAGTCAAGCCATTCCCAATGCTGGCTGGGGAATTCTGGAAGTTGAAGTCCACACATCTTCAAGCTGTCAGGGTTGAGAAACACTGCATTAAAATTTACAAGCATTCAAAACAAAAAATGTGATGTTCTGCTAATGCTTGAATCTTTTTTCCTAGCTTTATGCTTGCTCAGACATACAAGAATAGGAGTAAATTTAAAATAAACTGTATAAGGTACTGGTAGTCAGAAATGAAAATTTGGAACTTGAATAGTTCTTTCATTATAGATTGGCCTATTGGCATTATTTCAATTTACAAAGAACTGAGGTTGAAAGGTTCAGACTATGTGGAGGTAGAATAGAAATAAGTATGATTTTCATATACAATTGCTTTGCTTTTTAATGTATGAATTAATCATGCTCAATTTTTCTCTGACATTGTTTGGAAAGGGAAAGAAATTCACTGAATTATATCAGCCATTCTGAGGAAGTGGATTTAGGAGAAATTGGGTAAGTAAATAAGAGAAGTGCTTTGAAATGAGATAATAAATCTTATACAATATTACCATTCAATCTGACTGTCCTAAATCCAGCTCAGCTTCTGAGGACTCTGTCCCTGTAATTTTCTTGGCAACAATATACAAGTTATTTTCCATTGCCTTCTTTCAGGATAATTTTTGACTTCTCAGTCTACTCTAAACCCTTGGGATTTATGGTGGACCTCCCTGCTTAGCTTTGTTTAAGCTCAGACACTATTAATTGGGGCCATGTTAAAGTTGGACAAACCAATTATCTTCTATTGTTCAAAACTATTAGTTCTTTCTTTGTTAAACCCAAATTATTCAAAAACAGTGATGAGTGAGAAAAAGTTCAAAGAATGGTATTCAGGGAAATCCTGGAATGCAACTAAGAAAAACATGGATTCTCAAGAGAAACAAATCTTTATATTGAGTCAGAACCACAAATATTTATGCCTTGTTTCTCAATGTGTTGCCCACAGAGACTTTGGCCGATACAGATTTTTAAATCATGCTGTAAAAAACAAAAAAAAAAAGCACATACAGGAAAATAACATGCTGGAAAGCGAAGTCTCAGTCTTAAGCATAATCTTTATTTCCAAGAATGCATAAATCCTTGTCAGGTGCAAAGAATCAGGACCATTCATATTTCACTATCCACAAGAATCTGGTAAACTAAAGTTCAGCACTAAATTGGCACTGATAAAAATCAATGGAATTAGGAGGCGATGGATTTAGAATGCTTGTGGCAACTCAAGGACTCTAAACTTATGACATGCTTACCTCCACTCCCCAGCTCTGCCTTCTTTTCTCCAACAACCCTGGAGAGATTCTTAGAAAATGAAAATGATGGGGCTGTAGCTCCATGCTTTATCTTTTTTGCCCAGAAAAAAGAAAGAGGTCAACTGAAGTGACAGGGAATATCCTTGAAGGCTAATAAAAGGAGTTGGAAAGCATCTCCATTGGTCTCCTGTCAATATTATGTGACTGGCCTCATCCACCATAGCAGCCAGTGTGTGACAACCCTCATAACATGTACACAATTTTCCAAAACTAACTTTTTCAGATGCGAGGCACTCCCTGTCTCCCTTTTTAATTAAAAAAATTGAAATTTCATAAGATTGTTGAATTTTGGAAAGGCCTTAAAACTTTTTAAAAACTAAACATTCAAAAAACATTTAGTAATAAAAAATCTTATAATTGCTTTTGCAGAATTGCCCATAGATGCTGCTTAGCAGTGTTATGAGCACATTTCAGGAAAGTTCACAAGGATGCTACATAAAATTAATAATTCTCTAAAAGGTAAAGAAACAGTGTTGTTCAGAAGTAGTATTTTATTAATGGGGGAATTATGATTTTTGTCTAGAGAAAGGAGCGTATTAACAGCTTATGGATGGCTTTTAAGGCTGAACTTACTCTCCAAATCAAATAATTTCATATACGTTTAAAAAAACAGAATTACTGATAAGATTATAAAAAGGCAAATATATAGAGAGGTAGTGCTCAAGATATAATGGCAATTGGGACCAGAATTTTATTTTATTATTTATTTATTAAATTGATTTGCTGCCCATTTCCATCATTAACTGATGTGGTTGTAAAGCACGATGTCACATGACCACATTGCTTAGTGATGGCAATTCCAGCAATCCTGGTTGCCATCATTAACCAAATATTATTTGGTTGGCTAGTTGTTAGCCAAAGACCTACCCCAATTCAAACCATTCCCAACATAGTCTCTCCAGCCCCAAACTTTGGTAAGAGACTGTCTCCTTTTCAACTGCCCCCATCAACTTGTCTTCCCTCACTTCTCTTTCTTTTGGGCCGCCTCCATCTTTACTAGCCTTGCTGCCCTGTACTTGCTGGCGCTGCCATCCCTGTGAGAAGTTCAAATGGAATTTGGACAAGGGGCCAACACAGCCTCAAGAAACAGTCCTGGCGTGGACAGCAGCGGCCTTGGGGAGAGGCAGGATGCCTTATCAGCAATAGCAGGAAGAAGAGGGTAACGGTCAGTTGCGGTGGCAAGGCCAGCAGAGGTGAGAAGGCCAGTGAGTGCAGGACAGCCAAAATGGCAGAGAAGGGGGAGGGGGAGGCAGATAGAGGGAGTTGAAGCAACCCTACTATAATATATACAGGCAGGCTGCAATGTGCCCAAAATTTAATCACATGACAATAGAGGGTGCTGCAATGACCATAATTTCGGGGACCAGGTTTAACTGCCATTTGTTCAGCATCACACTAATGTTAAACAATTGCTGAACAAATGGTCGTACTTTGAATAATACCTGGCTATAAAAGGGGGAGGGCAGAAAGAGAGAGGAATTGTTTGGAAAGTCTCTCAGGTCTAAAGGCTTCACATCACTCACCTGGACCAAAACAGACACAAAGTCCTTCAAAGCAGAGAGTCGCTCTCCCTCAAGGTTGGGGAATACTGCAGCCTCTATCCTTAAGCTGTAGAGCACTGCAGATTCTAAATCAGCCATGTATATCTTTCTCCTGTGTCACAAACATTAACCAAGAAAGGGGAAAATTTATTGATAACTGACACAACATAATTCTAGGGTGTAATCTAACACCTCCTTTGGCATCATCTGACCCACCAGTTTGTCAGCAGTGGTCAGAGATATATAAAGGTAGCTTGAGCTGTGCCTATAGAACTAGTAAGGATTTTCTTTGGAAAAAGAAATGAGACTTTAATTACCCTCCATTATCTCTCTTGAGATTAATTTCTATAAATTTGCACTGACACCCATATTCTTTGCTAAATTCCAAAAATCCATGGAAAAGAGTTCCATGATTTAATTTCCCTTCTGACCACACACTTGATCACAACTTGAACTAGGCCTCTATTTCTTTTAATGCTTAAGTGTCTTGTCTTCATGCTTTGTATCAATCACTGTTTTATTCCTCCCCAAACGATTTGCTTTTTTAAAATATTTCTTGCCTGAGTATCTTTAATTGGAGCGGGTCTCAGTGAAATCCATTATGAATATGTATCTTATTCTATGACATCAGATAAACCAGCTTGATTTCCAAGTAATATGAAAATTACTTTGAACAAAAGAAAGAAGAGCTAACTACTTTCCCCAGACAGAACCACTTTAATGTGTATGTACAAATGTGCTTTGAGAATGAGTAGTATGACATAATAAGTTATTTTCTTAAGAATCAGTTCTCTTCATCTTTCAGTTTTTATGTGCATACTTTTATAGAGCTGGATTCAATCATGTATTCTGTCATCTCTGCCCAAATATACTCTGAAATGCAGGAATGATTTTTCCACGGATTATCTGTCCAAATTGAAATTTCACCAAAATCCTACTAAATTGGAACTGAGCAGAAGAGTGATTTGGGCATTGAGACATTCTTCGCAAAATTCTGAAATGATAGATCCTGTGCTATTTGTGAGAACATTTATTGTACGTTTGTTGATTTTGGAGAAACTGATAAAATAAATGGGTCTGAATTATGGAATGAAAATGGACTTGAAGGTTAGAAACTAATCAGAATAGGAAAAAAATGTGAATAAATTGGGAATTTATTATGCCAAGAGAAAAGTTAAGTTGAATGCAGTAGGAAAGGGGTATTTAAGAAATATGGTGGTAAAACAAGAAAAAGAATCAAGAATGAGTGAGTGCCAAATGAATGATGACTATGGAAATGAGTGATCAGTATGAAAGTACATTGAAATGGTTTGATCGTATAGGAAGAATGAATAAGAATTAAATCATAAAGCAAATCTATGAAAGACATAGAGGAAGAATGGTAGGAGATGCTGAGGTCCTTAGAGAGAGGTGAGAAATTTAAAGAAGAGTCAGTGTATCAATCTCTGAAAGAACATAATGGAAGCAAAGACAGTTGCCACCGTAGAAAAGTATAGAGAGGATGTTGTCATGAATTAGACTGAGCTTTATTTTGTTTTCTTTTTCTAAATTCACAATTTAATTTATTTGGCTTACAATTCTTACTCCCTTTCTACATTCCGCATTATGTTGCTTACCATGAAAGGGAACAGGTGATGAGCATGCATGTGAGTATAGCCGTGATGTGCAGCTACCTGGCTTCAAAGCCAAAAAAAAAAAAGGTATTTCACAAGGGACATGGGAAATTTCACTGCAACTTCTCATGACCTCTTTTAAAATGCTGCACCTTTTCCTGGGCTGGCACAGCAACTATAGAATCCCAAGAAAATATGCACTGGCGTTAATGAGATGCCAAAAGGATGCAGCACACTTGTCATAACATGCTGTATAGCTTAAACATAAATTTTCCTGGGATGCGTGCCTTTTGTGCCAACACAGGAAAAGGTGTAGCTTTTTTAAGGAGGTGTTGAAAGGTGCAGAGAATATTCCAATGTTATCTCTAAAGTAACGGTTCCACTTCGGATGCAAAGCACTGTACATCCATGATGTATAGCTCTTGCATCTGCTAGCCCCCTTTTTGTTTATAAGCTTGTTCAGGACTGACTGGATACCCTGCTCCTCATAACTATGAATGGTGAGACTAACCAGTTTTAGCTTATATCGTGAGAACATCTGAAACAGCACTAGGAAAGAAGAAACATTAAACCATTCGGGGAAGCTGACACTCACTTGTCTGCCACCTTCCAAACTGTAAGAGCAGTTGTTGTCTGTGCAGTGGGGGACACCGTTGGTATGAAAACATCTCGTCTAAAGACCCCAGATAAGTTCTGCAGGAAATTAGTATACTGGGATCTCGGGTCCTCCAGCCTGGAAGGAAACATGAAAGGAGACAAACTTTAACGATGTGTATTTGTGTCCTTTCTAGTTACTATCTTTAAGTTTCAGTGTGACTATAACTCACATAGCAACAGATATATTACAAAAGAGAAAACTGAACTGTCAATTCTCTTTAAGCATCAAAATATACAAATGAGTCTATACCATTACTAAAAAGAGATGTAATATTTTGCACTAGTGAATTTCAAATACGTATGCCATAGATCTTTTGCTGTTCTACCTGTTACCCAGAATGACTAAATACACCTTATTACCAGAGACGCTATATACTGGATTCAATTTGTATGAAAGATGAAGTGTAAAAAACAAATTAAGAAGGAAAAAGATAGGGGGAAGGGAAGGTGCTAAAAAATAAAGAAAAACGAAAAGAAAGAATAGCTTCCAACTTTCTTCAATACAGTTAGAAATATAAAATATATTAACCTCTTGATTTAAAATTCAATAATAGTATTTCTATAAACATAAACATTTCTAATTGTCAAATCCCAAAATTAATGTGGCATTTCTTTCCGTTTCTAGCAAAAAGTCCAAAATTAGTTTCCATGTAAAAACAAAATTAGACAAAGACTTTTCTTTAATCAATGTAGTTAATTTTATCATTTCAGCTGGTTCCACTAACTTCACCATCCATTCTTTCATTGTGGGAATCTGTAAGACTTTTCATCTTTGTGCATACAAATGTCTTGCTGCAATTATTATATATAGAAACAAAGTTCCATATTTTTCTTCAGGTGCTTAACTGGCTAGTCTAGTCTTCTCTATATTTTAGTCAGTTATTTATTAATTTTTAATAGATAGCTCTCCTCACCTGTATCACTTCCATGTGCTAATTCCAACTGATTAAAAATTTCAGAAAAAACACACTAATAAACTGTCCCGAAGCAGTACACTTTTTCTGTATTTACAGCTGTTATACATAACTATGTTTAATATCTTGGTAGTCTGATTTCCAGAGACAAGATCCCATATAACTTTGCATGAAATGAACTTGGTCTTGATCATCTTTCTTTTCTGGTGTTAAACTCAGATCTGAGTTAGGTCCAGGCTATTGTGAGTAATCTATCTCTAGATCTTATAATTAAAGAGGAAAGGCATATTATAAATGGAATAGTAAATTAAAATTATTATTATTATATCACCATTCTGCAAAACAGGCACTATAGTATTTGCAAACACTTAAAATAAATGGGTTTTGGAAACAAGCTATAATAGGATAGGGCAAGCCAAGCAGATTCATCCCAAATTAGAACAATTCACTTTCACTTTATTGCCTTTGCCACATAGTTAATTTAGAAGAGAAAACAATGAAATATCCTTCATGTAAACTGCCAGATCCACCTCCCCTCCCCACCACAATTACAAATTAAAGAACAGTCCTGCACTCCCTATGTCTGCAACATAATTATGAAGCTAGTCAGTATATTATTATTCCTACTGATACCACATCTACAGATGAAACAATCCACATTTCATTTCTCTTAATAGCAATAGCTCTTAGACTTATATACCGCTTCACAGTGCTTTACAGCCCTCTCTAAGCAGTTTACAGAATCAGCATATTGCTCCCAACATGTTCAGCAAATGGATTGTACCTAGCAAATATCAGAGAAATACAGACTGTATTCTTGAGCTTCAGATTGGTGGGATGACACTGTCTTATAAATTAGAATCTGGTCAGGGGAAATTAAAGAAAGAGATGTCAGCAAAGATTGTGAATATTATTACTGACTTCAATAGCCCAAATGGGTCGATGGGTTTCTTTTCCATTCTCCTTGATCTCTTTCTCTCCCTCTCCCTCCCCCTCCCTCTGTCATTCATCTGATTCCCTTTGAAATCAGTTATAAACTATAGAGCAACGGTCACCAACTGGTGGTCCGTGGACCACTGGGGGTCCGTGAGAAAATTTTGTGATCCGCAGAAAAATTATTTGCATTTTTTATATTGCACTAAATCAGGGTTCCTCAAACTATGGCCCCTGGGCTGGATACATGCAATGAACGTTTGTGCTGCTGCAGAGAGTCTCCCCCTTCGGTGTCTTTTTGTGCGGATCAGAGGGGGGCAGAAATTCCCGACTTGGGGTCTGCTTCAGCCTCCTGGTGCAGGGCTTTGGGCGAAGGCTGGAGGAAAGTGCTGCTGATGGCGAAGACCCGGAGGGCCTTGTTCCAGTAGGACTGCATCATGGCCCACTGGAACAATTGGTGGGACCATCTCAGCCCGCTGAGCCTCCAGGCGCCAGTACCTGGCCTTGCACACCACAGGTCTTCCCTCTGCTTGGAAAGCCTATGTTCATAGTCCTCAGTGAGGTGCTTCTGTTGAACCTCCTTCTCGGTCAGATCCAATTTGAACTGAGCCAGCTGTTTTGCCAACTCTTTCTCGTGGTGGCTGTTTAGCTCCAAAAACTGCTTCCTGTTGGGGCCCTAAGGAGCTCGGGCGGAGAGGCGAGGAGTGGCTGGCAGGGGAGGGGCAAGTAGAGGCTGACGAGGTGCCCCTTAATGTGAGTGACATTCAGTTGGCTACGCCCAGTCACATGACCACCTAGCCACGCCCACCCAGTCAGTCATTAGGCAGATCATATTAGTGGTCCGCAGAATTTAAAATTATGAATTTAGTGGTCCCTGAGGTCCGAAAGATTAGTGACCCCTGCTATAGAGAGATTCAAACAGAGACAAGCCTAATCTCAGCCACCCCTTTATCTATAAACCAGGTGGCTTAAAATATAAACAGAGAATTTTGAATAACCTTTCTGGACAAAGCCAATTTCCCTCACATCCCAAAGCAGCATCAACCTAAGAGAAAGCTGCTTGCCAGTGCAGCAAGCAGTGGTACCAGCAAAAAAAAAAAAAAAAATCCCTCAGGGAAGCACAAGCAGGAACAGTCACTTTATACTCTGTTTTCTCGGCCTGATGCTCTCTGCGAGCAGATGGCCAAGAGTCGGCATCATCACAAATAATTCTCTCCTCTGCCAGTTCTGCAGCAAGGAAAACAATGGCTCTCCTGTTGGGTGAAGCTGGCAGGAAAGAAGCAAGATGACCGCCTCTAGGCCAGCCATCTACCTCACTCCACTTAAGTTCCTGCAGAAGAAAGCATATAGATTTCACAGGCACCAATTATTCCCCTCTGGCCCAGGAGTGAGTAGTGCTGTCACATCTGTAAACCTCTTGCTAAGGAAATCAACAGTGCCAACATGCCCCTTTGCCCATCACACTAATGCCTTCACTGCCAGGTGGACATCAATCATCTGCTAAGAGCGATGTAGGGGAGGGGGAGGAGGGAGACCATCTGCTTGTTGTTTAATGCACTATTCAATAGCAGGAATTCACCAGAGGGTCCAAGCACAGGTTCCATTGTTCTCTGCCAGCATCTCAGAACCAGCCATTGTCTGGCTTCTAATGAACTTTTCTGCAATTAGAAATACATGTGGAGGAGACGAGCAGCTGGGTGGATGCGAGGTGGTAGGTCAGAATACAGTTGATCACTTGCCAGGTTTTCAGAAGACCACGCTCAATTATCTTTGTTTCCAAATAATGTGAAATAAAACTTCCCTTCTGCAAACTAGGCAGAGAATCACAAGTTGCAAGGCTGATCACAGAAGGTGGCACTGGATGAATATTTTTCAGTTCCTTGATAATTTTGCCAGAGAAAAGCACAAGGTACTTTGGTGCTATTTTAATACTGCATCTACGTAAAGCATTGGAAGACATGATAAAGAATGTGAAAAGGCTTGGGGCAATGCCCAGTAGCAATAATAGACTAGAAGGGGATAAATACTGTACACTGTGCCTGAATCCCGGTGAAATTAAGGTAGTACCAGTAAATGGTTTCTAAATCAAGGAAATGGATAATTGTGAATGGATCTGAAATCCTTCTGAAGCATCAGGTACATGGCCTGGAGATGCCCACCTTAATGCCAAAGTTTATGCCAGCCATATACATATATTGATGGACTAGGATAGCTTTGTTACAGTGATATAAGCATGAGTAATTTTCAGTCACTAATTCTACTGGGTTCAATGTGGAATTACCTTCCTGAATAACAAAAGAGTCATTGCTCTATAAAACCATAGTCGGCAGCATCTTAAGGGGAGCAAGGAGGGAACTCAATGCTGTCAAAAGTGATGCTATGCAAATCCTATTCACCATAGATCTCTTCATTGTACTTATGTCTAAAAGGGGCACAGGTTATAGTGATGAAAGCAGCAAAGTCCTATGTTCACAGCTATTTCCATAGCTGAAAGTCCTGCACAAACTATGGATTTGCTACTGCATGAAGTTGAAGGATTTAATTCTCATTCCTGAGCCTCTAAAAGCCTGGCTCCAAAAACCTAACAGCACACTTTTTTTTTTGACATAAATGTTGTTCACTGCAATAGTCAGTGGAGGCCTTCCCAGTTGTGTCATGTTCTCAGAGAGTTTTCAAAGTAACGGGGAAATCTGGAAAGACGCTCTAAGTATTTAATCATTGCAGTTTAAACCCAGAAGAACAAATAAGCAAGAATATGGGAAAGAGAAAATATTTTAAAACATGGCCCATTTCCCATTCCTTTCATTGGCCCACTTGAAATAAGAAGACTGGTGCTTCATCACCAGCCAGGACACTTACAAGTTGAGCCAACCAGCTATGTTATGTCTTTTTATGTGCTGCAATTTTGCAGATGCTAATTAAAAGCTGTTGGCTTCCCGATGAATGGAATGCAACAAACTACAATGAGATCTGAAAGGCCTTATATCAATATCACATTCTAGTTTGAGAGAGGAATCTAATGACTTCAGTTGTTCAGCTTTGCTTACAGTTGCTGAGTATATCAAAAGGTACAACTATGATATACATTAAGTTGTGCCTCAAAATTCAGCTTCCAAGCTACTATGCCAAGAGATAGTAGTTCAAATCTGAATGCTCCACAACTAGGGAATCACCTTTCTTCTCAAGAAAATTCACAAAGAATTAATAATGTACTTGTGTTGACATATTACACTGCAGCATTAGAAGTGACAACTGTTTACTTTAGATAGTAAGTACAACTAGTGCTGGCTTATGAAATGTTATCTTCAAAGGAAATCTAACATGTGCAGCTAACCACAAAAAAGCCAGTGTCTATAAATCATTAAGGGGAAGAAGAAATGTACAAGACAAGAAACTGTGTAGATCAGATGGCATAACTCCAATATATACACACTAGGTCTGGTGTCATGATATAAAAGGATACAGGAGTTTACCACAAATAGGTGGGGCCACACGTGGCACACACATTGCTCAAGTCTGGTATGGGGGAGACTTAGATTAAACTACAGGACCACAGTCAAAACTTTATCATAGTAATTGGAGGCACAGTTCCTCACATCTATACAGAACCAGGTTTGATATTGCTGCCTTAGAGGATTCTAATTATGCTGTGTGTATGATGCAATAACAGCTTGTCTCTCTGGAATAACAGCACTTGCAATGCTTTTGTAAGAAATTAACAAGACATATCCCATATCCACACCCTCCATACACAAATCCTTTATATCCCAGGAGATCTCTTTTGGAGCAACACCCAAAAGAAAAATCCAGGGTTTTTGCTTCACGCATAAGAACCTCCCATCAGTGGAGATTCCGTCATTCCGAACCCAGCTAGCACATACACACTTCCACACCCAAGCAGTTGGCTGAAAACAGGTTTTGACAATGCAGCTGTCTGAATTATAATAAACAGACTGATATCTTACTACAACGATCACAAACGTTCTGTAGAAATCTAACCTGTTGCAGTTTTCTGCAGATGCCTGAATCATAGGATTGGAAGGAGGTCTTTTAGTCCAAACTTCTGCCTAAGGCAGGTCTCCTTATATCATCCTGGGCAAATGGATGTCCAATCTTTTCTTGAAAGCCTCCAGCATCCATAACTCCAGGAGGCAAGCTGTTCCATTGGCTAATTGCTCTCACTATCAGGAAATTTCTCCTTAGTTCCAGATATGATATCTCTTTAAACCCATTGCTTCGTGTTCTGCCCTCAGGTATTTTGGAAAATAAGTCAATCTCCTCATCTCTGTGACTGGTCCTCAAGTACTGGAAGACAGCTGTCATATTTCATCTAATACTTCTTTTTGTTAGACTAAACATACATTTAGTCATATCAGTGGCGAAATGTAAAATTTGTTACTACTGGTTCTGTGGGTGTGGCTTGGTGGGGGGAGGGGTAATGTGACTGGGTGGGCATGGCCAACTTTTTATTTATTTATTTACTTTTAAAAGCATTTTTTCTACAACCTCTTCGGCTGAAGGGGTTGTAAAAAATGCTTTTAAAAAGCTCTGACGATCCCAGCTGAGTTGCCTGATCGCCAGAGGCTTTTGTTTTCTTTTAAAAGCATTTTTTTTCCTTTTAAAAGAAAAAAAAAGCCTCTGACCATCAGACAACTCAGCTGGAATAGTCAGTGCCTTTTAAAAGCATTTTTTTTTACATTTTTTAAAAAGCATTTTTTTAAAAGCATTTTTTCAGCCGAAGAGATTATAGAAAAAATGCTTTTTAAAAAATGTAAAAAAAAATGCTTTTAAAAGGCACTGACTATTCCAGCTGAGTTGTCTGATGGTCAGACAATCATCAGAGGCTTTTTTTTTTTTTACTTTTAAAAGCATTTTTCCGGCAGAAGAAAAAATGCTTTTAAAAGTAAAAAAAAAGCCTCTGATGATTGTGTGGCTCAGCTGGGCATGGGGGGGCGGGAAACAGAGATTTTTGCTACCGGTTCTCCGAACCACCCTCCGTCATCGCTACCGGATCAGGCGATCCGGTCCAAACCGGGAGCATTTCACCCGAGTCATACCCTAAACTTACCTTAACCATTCATCATATGGTTTAGCCTCCAGACCCTTTATCATCTTTACTGCTCTTCTCTACACTTTTTCTAGTATCTTAGCATTATTTTTTTTCTATTGTGGCTATCAGAACTTGACACAGTATTCCAAGTATAGCCTCACTAGTGCAATATAGAGCGGTATTATCATTTCTCGTGATCTTGATGCTATCCCTATTGATGCAGTCTAGGAATGTATTTATTTTTTTGACAACTGCAGCACACTGCTGGCTCATACTTAAGTGGTGGTCCACTAGGACACCTCATTCTCTCTGTTGCTATTGTTGAGCCAGGTGCTACCAGTACCTATTCTATAGCCATGCATTTGGTTTTTCCTGACTAAATGCAGGATTTTACCGTGTTTCCCTGAAAATAAGACCATGACTTATATTTTTTTAAACCCCAAAATAAGCGCTTGGCCTTATTTTCGGGGAGGTCTTATTATTTTGGGGCACGTGGAGCAAGATGCGGCTCCTCTTGCCATCTTACCTGATTTCCAGCTCTGCGTTTAAATATTTTCAGGGAGGGCTTATTTTCGGGGGGGGACGCTTATTTTAGCGCATGCGCTCTAAAGCCCGATTGGGCTTATTATCAGGGGATGTCTTACTTTTGGGGAAACAGGGTATTTTTCAAACCACTGAACCACATCTTATTGGATAGGACCTATTCCTGTAGCCTGTCAAGATCCTTCTGATTCTTGAATATATCTTCCAAAATCTGAGCAATTCCCCCATTTTTGGTGTCATCTGTAAAATTTATAAGCTCCCCTTCTAAAGAATAAAAGAAATTCTAAGAATAAAAGAAAATAAAAATAAATTCTAAAAAATATCCCTCACACAGGAACTGGTCCAAGAATCCCAAAAATATAAATATTCTGCAAATTTCTTACATGAATAATTATGAAACAAAATTTAAAAATAGACACTCAATTTTTCTAACATATTTAAAAGAAATTATGAATTGGATAGAAAGTCCTCACAAAAAATTATCTGAGATGCCACAGGAACCTAAATTCTTGGACTCAAGGAGAATGACAGAGAATGTATGCATTTTAGCAACAGTACTAGATAAAACAGAAAAGGGAGGCTTCTATGACTATGATAACATCTCACCCAGGGATGCTTCTGCAAGAACCATTATTGGTCACAAGGAGGCCAGATGGAAAGGTAGTGACGTTGAACTGCTTCACTAGCTCTTCATTGCTCTGCAGGATTCGCCTTACTGCAATATTCTCAAATTGAAACATATCCAGTGCTACCTAAAAGCAAACAAGGCATGAGTCAATATTGCTAAGCTGGATGCAAGAAATTACCTTCTTCCTCCTCTATTCAAAAATTTAATCTTCTGAAAGACTCTCTTGCAGCTCTCACTCATTCTCATGATCCACTACCAATGAAATCTTGCTGATCCTTTTCAGGCTATTCACATCTAAACAGTGTCATGTTGCATATTTGTGGATGAATCAGAGGTGTATGCATTCTTTGGAACGTTCCATTATTATTTCTTTAGCAATGATATATCCATTGCCAAAGTCTCCCTTGAATACCTTGAACTGGAAAAGCGGTAGGTAATACTATTACATACAGTATACGCAGCGTAATATTACACAATTAAAGATTCTTAGGGTAATCTTTGTGTTTATATTTATAACAGGCAGTAGGTACAACCTATTATTTCTTTTAAGACTTGTGGCAATTAACTACTTTCTTTGTTTCCTCTCTTATCCCAAAGTTCACTGAAGGGAATAAAGCAGTCAGAGGTACTCAATAGGCCAGGAATAGGAAACTCAGAAGAGAAAGAAACAAAGAACTGAGAATAACAAACATCTTTTTTTCAGTGTGCAAACATATCTATAAAAATAGTTTATTTCTCCCTTCTTTTATGCAGGAATTCCTTTATACTGATTTGCATCAGACAGCATCATCAATTTAAAGCCAAACACTATAACTTTACCTTCAGATGTTAGGTCAGGGTTACAGCACAATAATGGTCATGATACACATAAGATTTTACTATCACTTTTGGTGAGCAACTTGGGGTCCTGATCTGTGGGAAAAGCATTCTGAATAGTACAGTGCCTCCACTGCCAAAACTGAATCTGGTAGAAGTCTTTCTGTTCAGACTTTGAGAGGTAAATAGGTATAGAAAACCAGAGGGTACATAAAAACAGGGCAACATACTGGCTTGTCCATTAGTCAGTTCCCACTTCTCTTTCCAGGAACAAATGATTCTTCCATCTTTAGAAAAACTGGCAGCTAAAAAGAGACATTGGGAGGGAAATAACTAAAATGCTTGGAGCTGAAATCAGCAGCTGCTCATCCATACTTTTTCATGCATGGAGAAATCTTCTGTGATGCCACCACATGTCAGTGTTGCTAGAATCAGAATTTACATCCTTTCACATGTACATTAGGTTTTAAATTAAAGATCTTTTTGATGTTCCCTGCTTAATTTGAAATCAGAAGTTCACGCTTAGTCTGTCAAAAAAGATTAAAAGAAAAGTCTGGGCAAAATCACAAAATCCTATTGTCAGTGTTATCCATGTTTACTTTAACTGGAAATACAGTTTATAAAAAGAGATTATATTCTAATTTACCATACAAATGTAACTGTTGTGGAGAAACAAAAGGGATGTCCCTGTCACCTTGAATGAAAAAAGCTAACCAGCAGAAGTATTATCCTGGTTTCCTCCTTTCATTGGATTCTACTGTGGGTTGTGGGGGCGGATTATGTAAAAGAAATTCTTTCGCAGGAGATTAATCAATTGGAAGTTAAATATTATTTTGTTTAGTCGTATTGAGAAAACATGTTCTGTGAACTATACCATTTGCTTCCTTCAATTTAACCTTGTCAAGAGATGATATCTGGGCACATATGCATAGCAGTTATTTTTAATAAAATAAGCACCAGCCAGGGAAAAGGAAGCACCCCAAAGCTGTAAAACAAACATCTCCTGAACAACTCAGAAATATTAACTTGACCTAACACAGGACAAATAGAAGATAATGTATGTAGTTCAAGGCGAAACGGTGGAGTCCTTGGAGCTCTCTGAGCTTGGTTGTTTGCTTGCAGACATTTCAGTAGCTAACTAGATAAAATAATTAGTGCTAGTGAGTGTGAGCTTTCTTCCCTATATTTATTAGTATTGGGGGAGTGAGGGGCAAAGGTTCTGCTTAGTAGGCCTTCGGGCTATTCAATAAACTATACTGCTTAGTAGTTCCTTGATTAGGGTACTGTTTTTTGCGTGATTATTTGCCTGGTGTTAATCCCTGCTTATTTGGGAGCAGGCTGCTGGAGAGGAAGTGCTCTGCTCTTTTTATTTCCTTTTTTTACTTCCTTTTTTTATTTTATTTTTATTGAAAAGTTTTAAAAATTTTTACACATATTTTCCCCTCCCTCCTCTCCCTTCCTGCCCCAACCCCCCCACCCCCGGACTTCCCAGAGCCAATACAGGGTATAGCATTTAACAAACATAAAAAAAAACATAAGCTAACTATCTATAGATTTATTTCCCTCTTACACTTTAACTCCCCTTGTTCATATCTAAATATAACTATTTAAACCAATTATTGCTTGAAAATAATCAATCCACCTTCGTTCTTGTCCATTCTTCAATAATAAGCAAGTCTTCTTTCTTCCAGTATTACACAATCAGAGCCCAGTTACAATTAACCATCACATCTCCAACCCTTACATATATTAACACATTAACAAAATATTTTAACCAATCTCAAATAAAGTATATTGTAAAAATCTTATTTTTACTTTTTACCCCATAAACTTATATTAATTCTTCCTGGAAACATTCCTCACTTAATAGCTTTCCATAAACTTATTCATCTTATTCTCTACAAATCCACTACGTATAATCAAATACCATCTTCACTATTTAATATCTATAAAAAATATTGTAAAAACCTTCCCTCAATCCTTGCACCATTTAACCCACAAGTTTATATTTATTCTTCAACAAAACATTCTTTAATATAACATTAATGTAATTTAAAACAAAGTATAAAGGTTTAAATAATATCCTTCTTCTGACCCATAAACTTATATTAAATGATCTACACTGTCCATAACTTTTACATCCACAATATTTTTCTTTTAACCCATCAGCTTATATAAATTCTTCAACAAAGCATTCCTTGAAATATACTTCAAGACAAAAGTGAAAGTTTGGTCAGTGGCCCATAACAATTCAAACATAACATTACTTAATATAGTTAAAAGTTAATATAACTTTTCAAAACAAATCATGTCCCTAAATATAAGTAAATCATTCATTTTCACTATAATATAACTTTTCAAAACAAATCATATCCCTAAATACAGGTATAATCATTCATTTTCACTATTACTATCCTCCCCAACAAGGAGGGTTATAATTTTTCCATCTCCATTTTTTCCTGACTTTTTTGCGAACCTTCTTCTTCAGTCTTATTCCTCTGCCTTCTTTTATTTTTATAAGTTCTTGAATTTTCAACTGAAGTTGCTGTACCTTACAATCTTGTTCTCTTTGCGAAGTAATTCCCTTCAGTAATCACACCTCTTTAACTACGATTGAGAGTCCATTTTTGTAAAAAAGTTGTAGAGTTCCACTTCGAATCCTCCTTCTTATATTAAAAATCCCAACGCCTCCTGACAATTTTCCAGTTGACTGTATCAAGGCCTCTGGAGAAATCTCTCTCAGTATTTCCTGGTTACACTCCTTCAAACCTCTCAACCTTTCCTTCTTAATTTGAAAAACATCTATTCTGTTTTCCAAAGGCACATTAAACTGGGTTGTTTCTCCCATCTCTTCATTCAGCAGCTCACTATTATTTGGCATCTGAAATACCGATACAATATCTTCACTTGTATCTTTGTTGCAAATTTGAGTAACATCCTTCTTGAAAAACCCTTCCATTCTTTCCACTAACGCAGAGGTATATGATTCTAAAATTTCTTTAAGGAGATCCACAGTCACTATTTGTGTATTTACTGATGTATATAATGGTAAGCCTTCATCACTTTCAAAAAAGCCAACCATTTTTTTTCTTCCCAATAAAACTTTCACTTTATACTTTTCCAGCAACTAAATCAATTATTCCAATCCTTAAGTGGTACAAGTCTTTTTTTTAGAAATAGTTTTTAAGTCCTTCTCCTTTTAAGATAAAATCCTCTTCTTTTAAACAGGGGCTTTCAACACAACATAATACTTTGTATCTAACTTTCACTTCTTCACGCCCCATTAGAGTCAAACGCCATCTTAGTTTCCCTTTCTCCCATAGAAATTCAGAGGGAAGTGATAGACTTTTCGGAGTTAAAGTTTAGTACTTGCAGTTTTAGTTTCTCCTGTATTTGCTCTGCCAGCTTTCAAGTCCAAAATCTTTTTTTTAAATTGAGTTGCTGGGGTGGTCACGGCGTCTAGTTTTGTTTGAAGCAGAAACATCCCGGGTCCGGAGCAATGACGGGCTTTCGGGGTGCTCTCACCCTTTAAGTCCCAGATTTAAAAAGAAACCTGGGGCTCTTGGGGAGTTCTACCCACACCCGTCGGCTCTCTTTCTCCCCTTCTCCCAGGGGGAAAGTTTTCAAGCCACTAGACAGTCGATTTTTGCTGTTCTAGCGGCTCTAACGGAATCCCGGGGCTGGGCTCACAAAGGAGTGTCTTTCGGCGCCGGCGGAGCCACCGGAAGTCTGTTTTTTTTATTTCCTTATTAGCATTTTTATGGTCTCTTTTGAATGATGTGTAAACAGTGGAGGGCTTCAAAAATTTTAGCAAAGAGTTCTCTGCCCAGTTGCTGGGTAGGGTGGCCATGGTGGGCATGGCCTAGTTGGCCTCCTACACCACTAGGGGGGGCATTTTTCCCCTCCATGGGCTCTGGAGGCTTTCCTTGAGCCACTGGGAGGGCAAAAACGGGCTCCCCGGGCTGCAGAGGCTCTAGAGGCCAGAAATGGGCCCGTTTCCGGCCTTCCTGAACTTTCGGTAGGCCCATTTTTTGCCGTCCCCAAGGCTCCATACATGTCCTGTACTTACCTGCATCCAAAACGGGCTGCATGGGGACTCCTGGGAGGGGCAGGGCGGGTTGAGCAGGGCGGGGAGGGGCCAGGCAGGAGTGGGATTTGGGACTGCACAGAATCTTAGCTAGAGGTTCTCTTGAACCCCTGCGAACCCTCAGCAGCCCACCCATGTGTGTAAATGAATGGTGTGTAAAAACTACCAAGGAGAAAATCACACCCCCACTAATGCTGGCAGGCAAGCTACTGCATATAAACAGGGAGCAAACTCCACATTCACTAGCATTGATATTACCTAGTCAGGTACAGTAATGAAACATCTGCAAGCAACAATCAAACTCAGAATGCATCAAAGACTTCACAGGACAATTAACCAGTAGAGATGGGGAAATAGCCCTAGAATAGTTATTCCTGACAGTATCGGGGATTAAATTAATATGTCAAACATATTCCCACAGAGTGTTTGACCCATGTAAAATATTCCAGGAAGGAACATGAAGGAAGAGCACTTTTTATTTATTTCTACAAAAGTTACAGGTCTATAATAACATAATAATGTTTAATTAGCCTATTTATCTGTGCATCAGAGCGTGCTCTAAAAACTCACTTTGGGCAGGTTTCTTGGTCAGGTTGATTAAAGGTCATTCCAAAGTTACAGGGAATGAGCCATTAGTCACTTGGCACCTGCAATGCCTTCAAGAGTGTCCTGAAATTTTAGTGCAAAATACAGCACACAGGGCGTTAATAGACACCCAATATCAAAACCTCACTGTACTTGTGTAGAAAATCCTGTAATTGGTTGTCAATTATTTCCCAGGCACAATGTAGCAGTATCTTACAAGTCTGATTGTACTATACTTCCCATCCTTATAGCCCAGTGAATCAGGTGTATTACCTGAGCCACATTAAAGATCCTCTTGCTTCCCAGGACATAGAGAAAGTTTCAGCCTTTTTTGCATAAGTAATAGCTCTTGCATATTTCTGTCAAGGTCATCTCCCTTACACTTTACCCTGTGGCACGTTCTTGCTTTGGAATTACATTCAGATTCCACTCTTTTGGCTGTGTCCTTCCTCTTTATTCAGAACTTCTCAGTTTGAATTTGATCATGATTACAAGTAGGTCTCAATTAGTGCAGCTAATGAGTCCCAAAAATGATCACATTATTTGAATTTGCACTATCCAAAGTGATATTTGTATGGATAATGTGGAAATTAGTTCCAGCTCGATGGAAATAGGCAGTGAAGTATTTTAAACAACAATTAAATATTATAATAAAGGATAAAAAGAGTATACTCTTGATTAAAATTTATGGTTAACAAAATCACAGAGTAGTTACAGAAAGCAAAATAAAAACAAAAAAAATTCTATGTGTGTTTCAATACATCCTATTTTAGTGTTGCTACAACCACATTCATGTCTTCAATTACGTCAAATTTTTGCTCCAAGGTAATAACAAGTCTCTTCTTTTTTTAAATTGTCCTGTTTTCTTCTGACAGATTCTTCCTTTTCTCCATTTTCCACAAAGATTAGCAGCGTCTAAAACCCCAACTGCAAGTGCACGTGTGTAAGTCTCAATTACACAAGCAATAGCCTTGCGTTAACGTGGTCACATTAAATACAACCTGGTATTAATTTGCCCTAAACCAAATATCATAACATTTGAACACCCACTGATAGCAATCTACCTGTATTTCAACTCTTTATTTTAATTTTATGTTAGAGGCCTCAAATGTTTTCTGTGTAGACAAGCAGGATATAAATTTAATAAACAATAATAATACTGGCTGTGATGTGTATGTTGAACAATCAATTAAGATTCACCTCTCTGCTCAAAAAGGAGTTGTCCTCATCAAATATCAGGGCCAAATAAGTCACGTTGTTCACCAGAAAGAAATCACGAAGTTCTGCCACGCTGAAAAAGAAGAAAAACATTATATATTGTTCCAGGTACAGATTAACATTTCTTCTGCAAATTTAGTTGCCCATGGCTTCCTGCTATAGGAGATCTTACCCAACCAATTTATGAGCATTTCTTCCTGAATGTAGGGAACAGCAATACATTTTTAATCTAACAGGATTTTTTATCTTATATGGGAATATAGGAATGCATATCTCCACTCTTCGAAAAATCTGGCCTATTTCTTCTTTTCCAAATACGGCAGCTACATCTTTCCTTAGCACAGATATATCAGCGATAGGGAAAAGTTTCAGCTGTTACATCTGTACTTGTTAGAGAAGAACGGGTATTACAAGTGATATAGAGCAACTATCAAAAGTGACATTCTTGTGCAAATTGTCCACCTCCACAAAATCTAGCTAGGGCTTTCATCATTGTTCCTTCATATAGCCATCCTCCCATTGTACTGGTATCGCCCCCCAGCATTCATCACCCAGTACTGACTGACAGTGTGCCCAGGCTGGCTTATCTCATTTTAAGATTATTTTTTACATTGAAATGCAAAAGCAGCATGTCCTGAAACAGGTGAGAGGCATGTTATGGAACTGGGACAGAGAACCAAGATACAGTATTATTTCTGGTGGATTTTTAACAGAAAAAACATATACAGCCAGGGCAAGGGAAGAAAGCACATCCTATCTTTGGGGGAAATCACTGTTTCTAAAAGTCCTTCCTTTGACAATTAGGAGCCTTTTCTTTTTTTCTCCTTTTGACAATCATTGATTTAATGGCAGTTTGAAATTTGCTTTTGCTTGCTTTTATTTAATCCAACCTAGTTATTTGACACAACTAATGTAGCAAACCCTTTTGCATTATTACTCTTTTGCATTTTAGTATTTAGTGACTATGGGCCTCACAGTTTAAGGATTGATATTATAGTATAGTTAAGCCATGTCTAACTGAGAGATTGGATGCCAAATTATGATTTTAATATAGATTTTATCTGTTATTTATCACTTTATTCTAGACTTTTTAACGATATTCTTTTTAGTGTTTTTATTTGTTCTGGTGTCTGGTCTTTGACTATAATAAACTTAATTTGATTTCATTTGACAAGATAATCATTGATTTAATGACAGTTTGAAGTTTGTTTTGTTTGCTTTTATTTGTTTGCATCCTGCCTTTTATTAGTTTAGTAATAAGTCAAGGAGGTGAATACATCCAATATACTTTCTTTCTATTTCCACACAGCAACCACGCTGTGAGGTTGTGTTGAGCTGAGAGAGAATGATTGGCCCAAAGTCACCCAGATGACTTTCATGCAGTGGTGAAATGTAAAATTTGTTACTACCGGTTCTGTGGGTGTGGCTTGGTGGTGGTGGTGGGGGTAATATGACTGAGTGGGCGGGTGTGGCCAACTTTTTTTTTTTTTTACTTTTAAAAGCATTTTTTCGGCTGAAGAGGTTGTAAAAAAATGCTTTTAAAAGCCTCTGAAGATCCCAGCTGACTTGCCTGATCAGCAGAGGCTTTTCTTTTTTTAAAAAAGCCTCTGACCATCCCAGCTGACTTACCTGATCAGAAGACGCTTTGTTTTTACTTTTAAAAGCATTTTTTCCGCCGAAGAGATTGTAGAAAAAATGCTTTTAAAAATAAAATAAAAAGCCTCTGATGATTGCACGGCTCATCTGGGCATGGGGGCGGGGAGGGATTTTTGTTACCGGTTCTCCAAGCCACCCACCGCCATCACTACCAGATTGGGCGATCCGGTCCAAACCGGGAGCATTTCACCCCTGAGTCATACCCTAAACTTACCTTAACCATTCATCATATGGTTTAGCCTCCAGACCCTAACAATGGGAATTGAATTCATGGTCTCCGGCTTTCCTGTCCTCTTAGTTATAATCATTGCACCACCACTGCAGTCATCTGCAGTCATCTTATCACAATTCAGGCACATTGCAACTGGCTTGATTGTTTTTTTTGACAGTTGAAGTGTTTTGTGGTCACATGGTCTCAATTTGCAATCTTTCCAGCTGGCTTCCAACAAGCAAAAGTTAATTGGAAAAGCCGGGTTCTCCTAGCAACTGCGTGATTCACTTAATGGCTATGTGATTTGCTTAATGTGGCGATTTGCTTAATGTAAAAATGGTAATAAAATTGGGTCCGGTCAATATTACTCACTTAATGGCCATATTGCTTAGTGACCAAAATTTCTGTTTCAATTGTAGTCATAAGTAGAGGACTATCTGTAATGTTTTCCTAGAGGATAGAATAATGTTTTTTCATACATAATCAAGAAACAGAAAACCACAGGAAATACTCAAACTCTACTTTATAACATAAGAAGTTTGATAGGTGTGTAGAAGTCTCACGGTGATTTAAAAAAAATGATTCAGTAAATGAGCAGTTGTTACAACACGTATTCAAATACTATAAGCTATAACTTGTCTTTCAAATGTTTCTATAAGCACTGTTCTAACAACTATGCATCATTTACTGAGTCATTGTTTATAAACTTTATAAAATGAATACTATGTAATATTCTAAATATGTGAGCTGATGGTTATCTCCAAAACGTACCAAACACCAAATAATGAAATGTCAGTTCCGCTAATCACTCAATTCCTTACAAGAGAATATGAGTGTATTATGAATGGATATTTCTGCCCACAAAATAAAACCAGAAATTACAAATATAATTAGACTATTAATTGTCAGAGAAGGATAAAATTACAGAATCTTTGAATGGAAACTCACTCCTTTCTTCATTCCTGGAGCTTAACACAATGCAGAAACCATCCCTGAGGATGAAATACTCAATTTACTTAAGAACATATTGGTTGGGAAAGATGGACATTTTAATTTAACATATTGAGGAGGGAGGTGCCAGTCTGAGGAAAGCTAAATTATACAATTCTGCACAAGCAAACATGCCATTCGGGTAGGCCACAGAATGTTGCCCCAAGTGTGGGTTCTATATAACTAATTGAGTAACCAGTTACAGAGGGGCAATTGACTACCCATTGTTGACAAGGCTTTTGAAGTTAAAGGCACACTTGTTTTATTTTATGAGACTATGGCTGTTCTCCCAAGCCCGGGGCTAGGGAGGCTAGTGCCTCCTTTCCTGAATATTAGTCACTGGTAAGATGGTTTGGGGTTTGCCATTTGTTCTTCCTTTCTTTTTTTTTCTCTTGGAGCCTGGTTTTATGGTCTGTTTCTATTGTCTGTTTCTATGATATTTTTTTATATTGTTTCACGTATTGTGAGCCACCCAGAGTCATTTAGAATCAGGCAGATCAAATTGAATAAAGATTTTATCAAAGGCAATTATAACTTGGCTTGCAGAAGTAAGACATAATCTCCATTGTAAAACAAGCAACATTACAATATTCTTCCTACTTCCTTCACGAGGCAGAGAAGAATCTGGGTTGACACAATCAGAGGCATTTTGGTAATCAGTGAAAAACATATTGACCTCTTTTTGGAATTCTTTGGCATTCTCAATTACCCAAAATGTCTTGGGTTGCTTGGCCTTTTCTAAAGTCACTTTAAACATCTGACACACCCCTTTCTTTCCAATTAGGGCTCTGATCTGTGTGGGATGATTTATTTTGGTAGCATGTGAGATTAAGGCTATTGTGTGATAGTTCACACACTCTTAAGTCTCCTTTCTTTGGTCTCGATACTAGATCTTTTCAATCTAGTAACCATTATGTCCATATTTGCTCCCATAACTTGGTTAAAATCTTTACTGATTCGCAATATTTCTATAAATATTGCATCAATTCCTGTAGCTTTCTGACTTGATAATAACTGTGATCTAAGATCATCTTCTACTACTATTCAAAAACTAAGTCAACGTAAAAATATTAGAAACCTTCCAGAAAACAGAAACAACTAATATCTATTTTTAAAATATTTTTCTACAACTGTTAGAAATTATTTTATCAAGACCAACAATCACATAATTGATAATGTACTTTCAATCCATGCAACATAGTACAAGCTGATTTTAATTAAAGATATACATTGTTCTCATTTTTTATGTTCTATTTTATTTATTAAATTTATATGCCATCCATGCCACTGCCAAGTGACATTATAGCTGAATTTAAAATGGTTTGCTGGCCCAAGCAAATTATCCATGCTGATTTTTCAACATGGAAAGTGTGTATATATTTTAAGAGATAATACTCAGCAGTACAAATCACAAACCAATTATATCTGTTCACATTGATTCACTGTAGTCCCAGTCTCTACTTTCTTTTCTCTTTCTCTGTTATCCTTCTCATAAATGATTTTAGATTACAATCTCCTTTGGTGCAGGGATCTGATACCTTCAGTCTGCTAAATGTGTAGGACAGCACGATCCTATATTATTAGATTGTTGTAATGGAACACTTTTAATATCTAATGCAATTTAAATGCTCAGTTTTCAGAGTCCAAAGCCCTTTTACCTATTCTGTTGAGTTGAAGGAAAAATGAGTAGCATGCATACTGATGCTTAAAAGGGATACTTTGTCTTGCAATCTCCTTTCAAATTACCTTGTCGGATGCAAAGGTGGGCTGGGAGAAGGCCACATATCTCCATGACTCTCCATTAAAGTGATTATGGTCTTTCTTAGAGACTCAATGGTTTTTTCATAATCTGTACAGGAAAAAAAGTTTATCATTGTGAAATTCCGGTCAACCAGTATGATTAGGTCAAGATAATTCAAGATAATTCAGGTTACCCCAGAAGATATCATGCATGAGAAAAGTCCCAGCAGCTTCTACCACCTGATTACTGGGAACTATTGCCGACACAATAGTTAAGCCAATGGCTTAAGTACAAGGATTCCTTTTTTTCTGATTAGTCTATCATCTTTATGCACGTAGAGAGAGTATGCAGGAAATGATCACATCATGCAAATAACTTTTATAGATTTTACAAGGTCAAACCTCTAAACATGGAACAACAGGAACTGAGCCATTTTTTCCTCCCCAAATACTTACAGGAAGGTGAATTCCAGTCACCTGTAGCTCATTTGTCCCAGCTAATCTCTATATACTTGCTGTACCCCCATAAAGTTCAATTTTCAGTTGAGAATTGAGGGACAAAAATAAATGTGAAAAACTGAATCTAGCCACTCAAATGTAACCCTTCTGCCAAGGAGCCACTCCCAACTTAGTTCTTACATGGCTCATTCCAGAGTACAGTACTTCAAATTCAAACTTTTATTGTCAGAGTACAACAGAGTACAATGAGATTGGCTGAGCCTCCCTTCATGCAATCCCCCAACCTAATACAACTCACAGTGAAAGACAGTAAAAGAAAAATCCCTAACCCAGTGAATCCTACTAACAAACACACAATCCTACTGCACCATGTGAATTTATTGCACATCTCACCAGCCCCGCAAGTCAATTGTACTATGTTGTTATAAAGTTATTTTCCATTCAGAAGCCTGACAGCCCACGGATAAAAACTGTTCTTCAGCCTATTTGTGCGGTTGCCTATGCTTCTATATCTCTTTCCCGATGGCAGGAGAATAAAGAAGCGCTGACCAGGGTGTGAGTGGTCCCTGAGGATTTTCCTCAACTTCCTGAAGGGGGATTCCCTCTACAGAGTCTGAGTAATTCTCTTAATTTAATTTAATTTAATTTAATTTAATTAATTCAATTTATATGCCGTCCCTCTCCGAAGACTCAGGGCAGCTTGAGCAAGAACTTCACAAATGTTGCCTAACAAGTATCGTCAATAAAGAAAGAATAATTGTTTGATCCTCCTACAGTTCAAGAAGCTGCGGCAATCTTCATGCAGCAAAGCATTAGCACTTTCCGCTTTGCTTTTAGATTTTGCTTCTTCTTTTGGGACTTTCTTTTGATTCTATGATATCCCTTCCCCACTACACTATGGCATGTCCATATTGCAGCCTAATGAACATGCTGAGAATTCTTTGTTACAGATTCTTAAGTTTCTTCCAAGAGAAACACTTTTTGGTTATCCCTAGAAACAGGAAGCTGCTATTAGATAAATATTTAGGTTCTAAATAAGTCTTCATCCAGGTAAGCAGAAAATAAGCTAGCGCTCACAGAGTTTATTTAGAAACGTAAAACCAAACCACAACTGGTTGTAGTTTAATTTTTTTCAAAGCAAAAAGAAAGCAAAGTGTTATTCTGAACAATGTTAAGCCTTAGATTAATACACAAGAGAAAGTCAAGCCATATGTTCTTTTCTAAATAAGTTAATCAGGTTCTGATTTACCCATAACCCATATTATTTATCTGGATATAGAATTTTGGCGCCCCAAAGTGGAAGTCCCAATTTGCTGATTTGAGAAGGTCAGAAATATCTTTCAGGCCTTGCCCAAATGAAATATGTAACAGAGATACAGGAAAGGAATGAGAGGTCTCAAAGAAACTGCATAAAAATAATAGTCATATTACATGGTGGATCATCTCTCTCTTTGATAAGCATGACTTTCTTTGGTGATAGAAAGAGACAATTTATTTAGCTGTCACTTTACTGGCAGCTGCATATGGTACATACTGTTGAGTTGTATGCCATCCTCAGGTTTTTGGGAGGACTTCTTGAAAAACTGGAAAGAAATAAGCCACATTGTTAGATTTTGCTTTTAAAAATTGCTTTTGTAGTATGTTAAGCAACACAATTGCCTAGTTGTAATCTGAAGTTCTCACCCATCAGCCTACAAGCTGGGAGAGAAGTATATAGATGGAAGAAAATTACCAGGATAGTTTTTTGCTGATATTTTTCCTTTCTGTTCACTTTTGGAAGATCTGAAAAACTAGATTAGGAACAGATCATCATGAAGAAAATATTCCTATGGTGTCACTAAAAATCAACACCAACTTGATGGCATATTATCAGTTAATCAATGATTCAACCTATCCATATCTTTCTGTTAAAAACTGTCTTTTTGTTAAACTATTGTATATATAATACTTTGCTTTAAAAATCCCTGTGAATTCTTATTTTAAAAATAAATTAAAATTAAAATGCCTCTTTAAATTCTACTAAATTCTGTTCTGGGATTCTGTCAGTCCAAAGCAACACACAAAGAATTCAGGTTCAAGAAATTCTACCTATAATACAGATTCTCCCCAGACTGCTTGTCTTCCTCTGGGAACAGAGAGATAAGATTGCATTGGGGGGGGGCAATTACATTCCCTTAGTGCAGATATCATATCTGAGCATGAGGATGTGATTCTTGTTTGTGTGCTGAGGTGTACTTATTGTTTTTGCCCCATTTTACATCCCCCCCCAAAATATATTTATCCCTTATTTGAAATAAAACTGCAAATTAAGTTTCTAATTATTCCATGGGAAAAATTCATCCCTATGCTGCCAGTGGCACTGGATAGGGCAAAGCAACAGAACTGAATTACCAAGTAAATATGCCTTCCCTTTCCTACGCTGATTCTTTTGGAAAGATTTATGGCATGTTCTGCCAACTGTGTACTTTCCACCTGATCAAATGTACACAAATCAAGAGCTTGTGTAATGACCAGGCTTTAGAGATTTAACAAAGCACAAGGAAAAGGAAGCAGAAAATGCCACATCAGCTTATAACAAAAACTGACCGTAAACCCAGGAAAGAGAGGGAAGGAACAAGGCTTATATATGTAAATAGGAAACTTAATGTTAGAATAGAATAGAATAGAATAGATATAGAATAGAATAGAATTAGAATAGAATAGAATAGAATAGAATAGAATAGAATAGAATAGAATAACAGAGTTGGAAGGGACCTTGGAGGTCTTCTAGTCCAACCCCCTGTTTAGGCAGGAAACCCTACACCACTTCAGACAAATGGTTATCCAACATCTTCTTAAAAACTTCCAGTGTTGGAGCATTCACAACTTCTGGAGGCAAGTTGTTCCATTGATTAATTGTTCTAACTGTCAGGAAATTTCTCCTTAGTTCTAAGTTGCTTCTCTCCTTGATTAGTTTCTATCTGTTGCTTCTTGTCCTACCCTCAGGTGCTTTGGAGAATAGCTTGACTCCCTCTTCTTTGTGGCAGCCCCTGAGATATTGTCTCCCCAGTCCTTCTTTTCATCAAACTAGCCATATCCAATTAGAAAAGGCAAATTCCAGGAGATGGATAAGATTGCTTTTCTTCTTAAATAACTGTGCAGTGAGGATTAATTCAGATCCAGGATCATAATTCCTAAGAAGAGAATTACCATCTTTGTCTATTAAAATCAGCCTCCTCTCTCCAAGATTAATTTATTTGCTTTTTCCGATGAACATTAAGCTAGTAGGATTCTGTTCTGTTTCTTTACAGTGAAGGTCCTAGCAACAAGGACTAGGTGTTATACTGTCTCATATACTTTCAGCAAAAGAAAGCTTTGACTCGGGAGAGGCAGATTTACTGAAGGGCACCCAATGATGCAGCTTCTTTGGTGCCAAGAAATAAATTTGAATCCATGGATATCTACCATCACCATATATCATTCCTTTACACTGAATCTCAGAAGTACGCACTGGCTCCAACCAACTAACCAACCAACCAACAATATGAAAGTAACCTAATACAAATTGTATCTAATCCATAAAATCCATAGTGTACAGTAAACTCCCACACTCCAAACTGATGGCTATCTCAATTTCCAACCCAACCACTCATCCTTACAGGCTACATCCATTGTCCAGTTTGCTGGAGGCTTGGCTTCAAGGTGCAAACAAATTGCAAAAAAATCACCTACACCCACAAACTGTTTGTGAAAGAGGTGGCACCTGAAACCTGGCTGGGCAAGGGCAACAAAGTTGCTTTATTTGAAATAACTTCAGCTGAGTTTTGTATCTTTCAGCAAGATCAGCACCATTTTGGCCTACGAATTGCAAGGCAGTGGATAGGGGACTGTTTGGATTATCTTCTGCTACTTGCAATCTGAATCCATGTCTGCTTCTGGCTGTCGTAAGAGGCACATTTGCACAGTACAAATAATCTCTAACCTCTGGATAAATGGGTAGCCAAGCTTCACGACATGCAAATTAGTGAGATCATCAAAGTATATAGTGTCAATTTTTCTTTTTTTCCCACCAAAATCCAGCAAGAAATCATGTAGCACTTTTGAAGAATTTGCCATCTGAATTCAGCTGCACAACTTTCTAAAGGACACAAAAAGCAGGTTTGGGGATGCTGCAAGTTGCCCCTCCTGAGAGATCATCAGATACAAGTGCTTCTCACTTCCTTACAGAATGCGCCAGATGGTATTGTATGCCTCTCTACCAGACTTCGCTATGCTCAGCAATCTAATGCTAGTTCCAAATGGACCAAAATGAGCTAGATCAGCTACTCCTGGGATGCTGGTTTATAATTACCCAAAATCATGTTGGTTGGAGAGAACAGGAATTGTAACCCTCACTACCAGAATGTTTACCTTCACAGTAGGGTAGCTCTTTATTCCAAATTTATAACAGATGTTCTTATTGGAAAAATCTGCACAATCTATAGCTCCCAGCATCACAGCAGGTCTCCAGTCTAGAAGGAGGAAAGACAAAAAAATTCATATTTTTCCAATATGTGAAAACATATAACTGAGTGTATATAAAATGACTACATAGCCAGGAGCTGTTCCTTACTTTTTTTTTTGTTCTGTACAACATCCAAGAAGTATGACTGTTTATAAAGAGAGAGAGAGGAAAAAAATAGTTTTTTTCAACTTGCAGCCGAGATTTGCTGATCCTCCCTGACATCAAGGGAGATGCAAGCAGAAAAATCTCTGGCGATTAACTATTAACTCTAGCCTTTCAAATTGAGTAATTCATATTTTGGCAGTAAAGCCCGTAAAATTCTATATGGCCCCCAAATCGTCTTGAATCCCAATCTAATTTAGACAAAAGGCTTGGATCTTGTTTAAGAAATTACCACTAACTTAGTCATGGTGTAGTTTCCAATGGATTCTCAAATGAAAGGTACTATAAAAGCTTTTAATAAAAGGAAAAGGGTTTGCCTGGCTGAAACAGTTACAGCTGGTACAAAATGTAGCTGCAAAGACAGTTATGTGTCTTCTTTGGTTAAGGCATATGATGTCTCTGTTTCACAAGCTACATTGTTTGCCAGCACAGTTCAAGATGACCTATAAAGCCCTTCATGGCACAGGACTGGGTTATTTTAGGGACTACCTCTTCACAATCATTCCTACCCATCCCATCAGGTCCAGTACTAAAAGCATTTTCTGGGTGCCATCTATTAGGGAATGCCATCTGGCAGGGCCCAGAATTAGAGCTTTTTTTTTTTTTTTTTTTTGCTATGGGGCCTCCTGTTTGAAAGACACATTTATTAGTTCAATTTATATGCCACCCTCCTCCAAAGACTCAGGGCGGCTTACAATGCACTTATAGCAATAGCCTTCATTCTTTACCTGCTTATTAGGGCTTTTGGCCCCCCATAAGCGGTGTTTCTACAAAGTCAGTTTATTGCCCTCACAATCCGGATCCTCAGTTTACCTACCTCGGAAGGATGGAAGGCTGAGTCAATCTTGAGCCTGGTGAGATTTGAACTCGCACTAATTGCAGGCAGCTGGCAGCTAAGTGCTACATAACAGCACTTAGTCCACTGCACCACCAAGGCTCTTGTTTCACATATTCCCACAAAGATTAGTTTGGCCCCAACATGGTTGGCCTTTTGCAATATCTTAAAAACATGATTCTATCACCAAGCCTATCAAGCCGTTCATGGCAGAGTTACTTTAGGGACCACCTCTTTACAACCTCTCCTACTCGTCCCATTAGGCCCAGCAGTAAGAGTTGACCTTTCAACTCCTAGGGAGGAGTTGAAAGGTCAACTGGCACTGGAGCTCAATGAACTCAAAGGTTTTTGACATGAAAATTGAGAAATCACAGGAAAGCTCCAAGCCACAAACAGCAGGAACATACTAGGCTTTCCGTGAAATACTGTGGTTAGGAAGGAACGAAAAGGGCTATTTTGCAAAGGAAAAAGGGAGGAGATATATTGTTATAGAAACCAAACATTGCATTCAACAAGGATGTGGGAGGGTAAGGAAATGACAACTATACATCCATCACCACATAAATCATGAGACTCAACACACTTGCATCAGTTCTTATTTGCATGATGATGTCATGATGCATTTTGATGTCATTGTGGCTTTTTATGAATGTTACTGGAGCCGCGCATCACTTTTTTTCAGATGAAAGAGAAAAGCCAAAATATGAAAGACCTGGCATTACATGAAATTAAACTGAAGTATTCTGATAAATTCCTCAACGTATTTCCCTTAAGCTCCATAAAAATCCAGAAATGGATGTGAGGTATACTAGAGTTCTCAGGACAGGAATGTGGACAAAGTCAATAGCACACACCAAGGGAAGCATAAAGTAGGTTTCTACTATTCCATCATGAAAAGGGGGGAAAAAACCTAATCCAAGATGTAATAAAGTGGAACAAAAACCTTAATTGTAAGAGGCAACTGTGTTAATAGGGCTTTGGTCTTGATGCTATAATAACAATTCTGTCATATCCGTGCAGTGTTTGGTGTTTAGTTTTCTGGAAAGTTGCAGCTGAGTTTGAGCTTATCTAAGGTCAAGTAGAGAAACAGGGGGATGGCCTTGAAGGAGGAGTTCAGTAATGATTATGTGAGCATGAGCTAAGGCTGGATGGAGAGAAAGGCTTTTGTATATCCTACAACAATATAACAATAAAAAAAGACTTCCTGCTCAATTCTTGTATCTTGATCTACCTTGAAAGACTGACAAGTAGACTGATGACAAAGACAGTCTTGGAAGTGCTTTAAGTTCATGAATATGTCTCAATGCTTCATGGCTGAACCAGACACCTTAGATGCAGAGGGTGTGGAGGAAATGGAAGCAGTGGTAGTGAGCTACATGCATAAGGGAGGGAGGTTATAGTAGAAGGTATAGGAAATGACCTTGAAAGACAGGAGGAAGAATCACTACATGGAAACAGTCAGACAAATGGGGCTGAAGCCTGGAGCAGAAACTAATTTGAGAAAAGATCTCAAGACAAGCAAGCCCTACCTAATTCACATGAAGATGTATTTTTTGGGGAGGGGAGGGGACATGTTCAGACTTGCAAGATTCTGCTACAATAACTATTATAATAAATAAATAATACAATCAATAATACAATTCTGACCTATATGGTATTGGTGTCTTAGTCTGGTCTACCTTGTAGATCGGACAGAGGCATAAAGGAAGCATCTTTGGGGAAATTGTCTGAAATCAGCCATGAATGGAAGGATTCCTTGACACAAGGGAGAAACAAGAGGAGGAATTAACTTATGCTCATGCACAGAAAACAGAACAGAGATTACCACCTAGAGCAGGGTGCCTAGTAGTTGGCAAAGAAGCTGGCTCTAACTCTTGTGTAGAAACAGTCTTGTATATACATGTTAGTTGCAGCAGTAGTAAAATTGTGGCTATTTATGGTGGTCCCCCATGAATTCTATAATCTAAAAGAAAAGTCTCTCATAATTGTCTTGGAAGCTGATAAGTTTTAGTGTCCAAAAAAATTGAGGCAAAATAGTGAGAAAGCCCTGAAAAGAGAATAAAGGTAATTCTCAACTTAAAACAGGTCATTTAGTGACCGTTCAAATTTACGACATCACTAAAAAAAGTGACGTATGACCATTTTTCACAAGGACGACCATTGCAGCATCCCCAGGGTCTTATGATCAAAACTCAGCTGCTTGGCAACTCACTCATATTTATGATGATTGCAGTATCCTTTTGCGACCTTCTGAAGCGTTACTAATTGAACAACTGCAATGATTCACTTACTCAAAACTCTGGCAAGAAAGGTCGTAAAATGCGGCAAAATTCACTTAACCAACATCTCACTTAGCAACATACATTTTGGGCTCGACTGTGGTCATAAGCCGAGGGCTACCTGTACAGGGTCAGTCCTTTACATAAGGGAACAATCTGTTCTAAATGGTAGTGGACAAAACCCAGAGGCAGGCTGGCCTCAACAGATGCAGATATAACTGATTGAGCAAAAGATCGTGGCCTTTGCCATGATGCCATGATGGCCATGAAACTCAAACATGAGGTCTGTGTCAAATTATCATATTCCAGAAATGTCTTGATAATGAGTGACATCTCTCAGCCGGTAAAGCCATTATCAGTACAGGATGACTACCTCTAGCAAAGAGACTCTTTATCCTCTGTAAATGAAGATAATACAAAGGATTCCAAGGTCTTGGGACCCTGTTGCATGAAGAACTGATTAACACCAGGCATGTGATAAAAGGCCTTCTGTTAAAGCCACCTAAGATAAAGTCACACTTCTTGAGGGGGGCTTGGGATCGTATTTCAGTTTAAAATGATGTGTTTTCCTCACACAATGAACTGCACTGCCTAAACTTAAGTCAACCTGCTAGTTGTAGCTTTTAGCTTGATCCAAATTCACCTGAAAAGCCATCTTGCTCTTTCAGATGTATTTAATCAGAAAAGCAAGCATATGTTCTTATCCCAAAAGGCTATTGTCAGGTTTTTTTTTGCATAATATGGAAGATGGGAATGAGGATATGAAGGCAGAAATATAGAGTGGCAAAGATGGTTCTGAGTTCTGATTATGAATAGTCCAAACACATCTAAAAAGCATCCGGTGGAGGAAAGTTGGACTATGAGATTAACCCCCAAAATTAGCATATAGAATGTGATAAAGGATACAGATAACTCAGCCTAAAGATCAAAAAGCAGCCAATAACTATTTTCTACAGAACGTATCCCTGTTTTCCCCTTTTGCCACCGATGCAGCAGGATCTTAGCAAAATCCTTTCATCTCCTCTTCCTCATGTGCAAAATTTCAGTAATCAGAACACTGTTAAACTTCTCCCGGTTTAAAAGGATTTCTCTGCTCTCTTTTGCTTCCTGAGAGGTTAAGTATTCTTTCTAGAACCAAGACTACAAATCTGCTCTGTGTCTTTAGAAATGAAGCAACATACTGGGAGTTCTCGACTTACAACCATTCATTTAGTGACTGTTTAAAGTTACAACAGCACTGAAAAAATGATTTATGACCATTTTTCACACTCACAACTGCTGCAGCATCCCCATGGTCACCTGATGAAAATTCAGACACTCGGCAACTGACTCATATTTATGACGGTTGCAGTATCCCAGGATCATGTAGTCATCTTTTGCGACAGTCTGACAAACAAAGTTGAATGGGGAAGCCAGATTCACTTAATAACTGTGTTACTAATTGAACAACTTTGGTGAATCACTTAACAAGAAAGGCCGTATCAACAAAAAAGGTTGTGTCAAGAAAGGTCGCAAAATTGGACAAAACTCACTTAACAAATGTCTCACTTAGCAACATAAATTCTGGGCGCAGTTGTGATCGTAAATCAAGGACTAGCTGTATAAGCTGAAGAAATAGACAGGGAAGCAAGACAATGAGTAGGAGGGAAATCAGGCAAACACAATTTATAGAGTAGCTGCTCTGCTCTATGTCTTGGAGTTGGGGAAGGGAGGGCAAGGGATACTATTGTT